GTACCTCTCCAGACTCTGTGAAGAAATAGGGAAGATCAAGAGGTGAATTATGTGCAACAGCTGTGAAAGTCAGGCATGCAGTGGTTAAGTTATGGACATCTGAGATGAAAGTGCTTTTTAAACCAGGTGAACTTTCAGTGACCTTCTTGCAGACGTTCCTTCTTGGCTGAGACAGTCAGAACCTCCACGGAGCAGTGAGGATGTAGTTGTTTATAAAAGTGGACTGAATGTACCAAGGTGGAAAATGTCAAACATGTAACTGTCTGTTCCTGAGAAACAGTGGCTGTGTTTAGCATGGTGTTACAATGCAAAGCATTTCAGGGTGTTTGTTATACCACCGTTTGGTTTATTACAACTCTGCTCTCTGCTTGAACCTGCCAGCCGATAATGATGAGCACTGTTACAGCTTTGAAACAGTTCTTGTATTTTAGTAATCACGTGCGAATGTTTTGTAAAAACACATTATTTTATTATGAACAATGCCAACAAGTGCACAAAATATAACCTTGAAGTGAACAAATTGATCAAAACCTGATATGGTTTTATTTATTTGTGAACGTGTGAAACAAAGTTTAAAGAAAAATGTATTATTTTAAGGAATGCATATCACTTGCCTCCTTTCATGCCAGATTATTGAAATAAAATCATTTTATGATGAGAAGGGATGAAGTTACAGCCGTTTCAGTCATGGTATGGCGTTATGCACAAGTTGGAGCTATTTTTATGTTTCTGACAGCGTTTGGCTCTGGCAGCCATCTTGAATCAGGTTGACTCCAAAAGTTAATCCGTTGTAGACGTACACTCATGATTAATGTCTGAGAGTTTAAATAAAATTGTGATTCATGGCAATTTCAGTAACATGGCAGACATGTAGACAAAGGCAAAAATAGTATTGCCCTTTCACCTGTAGCAAAGAGCGTGCTAACAAAACATTGTGATTCCTGCGGGTTTCAGTGTTCAAAGTTTGAACAGAGCTGAGCAAATACTAAACTACAGAAATTGCATTTCCTTTGAAAATGCAGCGTGAATGCTTATTGCAGAAGAACTTGCTGAAAAACAGCTGAAATTAGCTTAAAAAACATGCTGAAATTTAGTCAAAGATGAAAAATGTAGAACAAGCTTAAATTAGCAGAAAAAAAAGCAGAAAGAACACATGTTTGCCTAGTTAGGCTGAAAGAAGCAGAAATGAGCACAAAAAAGTGGGAATCATCTGAAAAAAGATGAAATTATATATATAAAAAACAAACAAAAAAAAAAAAAACCTGCAGCTACTGCAAATAGTAGCATAAATAACAGAAATAAGCTGAAAGGAGCATAACAAGCCAAAATCTTTCTCTGTTGCAGGTCCACGACTGTGGAATGAGTTGCCACTGAGTGTCCGGCAGGCTCCCACACTCTCAGTCTTTAAGTCTCGCTTGAAGACCCACTTCTATTCGCTTGCCTTTAACACGGTGCGATTTGTTTTGGTCCGGTCTGTTCTCTACTCTGTTGGCCATTTTAGTTAGCTTCTGCTGCTATTTGTATATGTATTTCTATTTTATGTTTTCCTGTCTGCTGTGCATGTTTGGTTCTTTTGTACAGCACTTTGGTTGGCCTTGTTGCTGTTTTAAGTGCTATATAAATAAATTGGTATGGTATGGTATGGTAAAATTAGCAGAAAGTTAGAAGAAGCATAAAAATGTTGTAGTTAGCAGAAAGAACCTGTAATGAGCACAAAACAGTTTGAAAAACAGCTGAAATTAGCTAAAAGTAGCTGAATTATTATTATTATTATTTTTTTCAAATTTGCACAAGGAAGCTGAAAGAAGCTGAACCAGAACAAAAAGTGAAAGGAGCAGTATGTCGTGATTGTAGGTTTTTAAGGTAGAACCCAAGGATGCAGGCAGGCCTCGGTCGACTCGGTGGTAAAATAAGAAGACACTTTAATAACACAAAAATAAATGGCTGTCGAGGCAGCAAAACTTACACGTAGAAAAATCACGAGGAGGCACTCAGGAAAACACTAGGGACTCAGGAGGATTATCAGAAGAATACAAGACGATGCCCAGACAAGGAATAACACTAAGACACAGACTTATATACAAACACTGATGAGGACAAAACACAACACACCTGTCAGGCTCACAGGTGTGGGAAAAGGGAAATCACATGAGAGGAAAGAGAACAGAAACAGGACAGAGACACACCACTAGGGGCAATATCACCACACAGTAAGATTGTAAACAGGTCTAAAGGATGGAAAATGAGCATAATTCATTTTCAATTAGAAAAAAAGTGGCAGAAAAGGCTAAATATTTCAAAACGTTAAAGATGCACCAATATTAAAAGTCATAGCAGGATTGTCCTGAAAGAGCTGAACGTTTTGATACATTGCTCAAATAGCTTAAAAACTGTGGGACAAGAATTGTGCCCAAGACGTACGGAATAGTTAAAATAACAAGAAGTTGGAATAATAATAAATATTAACATGACCACAATAGTGTGAATGCTTCATAAACATTCACATTATTAACAATGTTGAGTTTTCTAATGTCGATTAGTGGCAGACATCTGGAATTAGGTTAACTCCAAATGTTAATCAGTTCAACATAATTAACACTTGTTGTGGCTTGTGAGATATTTTGCCAACAGACAAACAGTATTGACCCTAGAGATAATGCAAAAGTTTTAAACAAATTTCTCACCATTTGTTAGCACTCTGAAGCTGAACTGAAGATGTCTCAGCTGGTAACTCACCAAATTTAGCTCATTTTCTGCTAAATTCATGCATAGCCAAAGTTATATCTTTTTGTTTCAAGCTGCTCAGATTTGATGTGTTTTACTGACAACAGTAAAAGTGTAAATTAATTTAAGAGTTTTTACATCACAGCTGAAACAGGAACTAATCTGTGAACAATGATGTTTGCCAGTTCTACAGCTGAAATTAGGCATTTTTCTTCTTTACATGCTGTTTTTCTGTTTATCTCTGGCCTTTATTTGTGATCATTTCATGTAGAAGTTAAATATCTTAGTTATTTGCTGCATTCAAACATGCCTCATTGACTTCCTTTAAAACCCCATGTAAACAGATTGTAAAAAAGAAATATTCTACTGACTGTACAACAATAGAAGAAATTCAAGAATTACCGGTAACTTATATTAGGAAAATAGTTGAGTTTGGTGGAAAATAGTAAAAATGTAAAATTTCTTCTTCGTGCATTGATTTATACTGCAGAGATCACAAATGTGGTGTTAGTAGAAGTCAATGAGACATTTTTGACTGCAAAGATGCAGAGGGAGGATCTGACATAAACTAAAACAATCAAATCTACTTTACTGCTAATGATTGACATGTCCAGGACTCTCTTCACCACCAAAGCCCCACTTTCCTATTTATAACATTAAAAATAATTCCATTTTGTGTTTTTGTAATAATTTATTTATTTTTTATTCTTCTGGCTGCTCCCTTCATCAGGGTTTAGCAAACTAAGTCACATGAAGACTTGGCAATTGTTTCCTGACGCAACCACAGACCACTGAGCTACCACAGCCCTCTGTGTGGAGCAGAGAGCTGCTATCTAGGGTGCTCAGGGGAGCAGATGGTGGGGTTTTGGGGCCTTGCTCAAGGGCCCAGAGTGGGGCAAATGAGGGTGGAAGCAGGTGTGAGTGCTTCACCACTCCTACCCACATTTTGATGTTGTCGTGAGAGTTGAACCAGCAATCTCCTGATCACAGGCCCACCTTTTCTAACCTCCGCGCCACCGTTTTTGTAATAAATAATGATATACTTTAAATAACTGAACTGGCATTTAAAGGTTCAAATCCTGAAATGATTGATGTTTGATAGTTTTGAGCAAGTTTTGAAGTTGTTTGAAAGATTTATGAAAACTTGTTTGATGATTAATTATCAGGTTTTTTTTTTATGTGTGTACATTTTTGCCACAAAGGTGCCAGAGGATGCAAAATGCATCAACACAGGAAAAAATACAAAAGACACCGAGCTTCAAAACTTTTATCTAAAAAGAAAGGTTCTTTCAAATGTTCATGCACGGGTTTTATGTATAACACATGACAAAAGAAAAAAAAATAATCTACCAATAAATAAAATATAAATATATATTACCGGTATATTTAAATTTAAAATACAACTTAAAATCTAGTCCCCCTTGAATAAGGACAACTGGTCTAAAATCTTACCATGATGCAGGATGCTGGGTCTCAGAAGGTTATATGCATATATTTTCCATCCATCCATCAACTTTACCCGCTTCTTCTTTTTCGGGTCGCGGGAGTCACTGGTGTCCATATCCAGCAGTCACTGTGCATGGGGGGGCACCCTGGACAGGTCTACATTCCATCACAGTCAAACGAGACCAACTCTCTCACTCACACCTAGGGACAATTTAGAGTTACCAAACAGCCTAACATGCATGTTTTTGGTCTGTGGCAGGAAACCGGAGTACCCGGAAGAAACCCACACATGCATGAAGAGAACATGCAAACTCCACCCAGAAAGGTCCCTGACTGGGATTTGAACCAGGGCAACCTGCTCGCTGAGAGGCAGCAGCTCTACCAACTGCGCCACCGTGCTGCCCCATTATATTTTTTTATTAACATAAATTTAGTGGAGGATAAACTTCAATAAGTTATAGTGAAAGTGCATATCTCAATAAATAATATCAATGTAAATAAATAAATAAATAGCACAAAAGTGGATTTACATATACAGTATATTAACTGCCTCACAGAAAGAAGGTTCTGGTGCAAGCCCGGTTCAGGCCTGAGGTCTTTCTGTGTGGACTTTGCATGTTCTCGTGTTTACATGGGTTTTCTCCAGGTACTCCAGTTTCCTCACACAGTCACAATATATATATATTTTAGGCTGCTGCCAGGCCTCCCTTGAAATAGAGATTTGTGATCTCAATGGGATCTCAGATAGCCTTGTTAAAAAAAAAGTGATTAAATTCCATTAAAACAACGAAATAACTTCTATATGTCAACAACATAACAAATCACCCATTGTTCTGGCTTGGTTTTGGTGTGCCCCCCAGGATCTTCACCCCCACATGGCCCCCCAAATAGAAGAAAAATAAATAAGGAGATATATATATATATATATATATATATATATATATATATATATATATGTACACCGGTATTTATTTATTTATTATTAATTTTTCCAGTATAAATAAAGATGGGGTTCAATTCAACCTTTATTCATACTGTTCAACTTAGTCCGGGATACAGTTAGTCCGGGATACAGTTAGTCAGGGATAATCTAATTAGCGAGCAGCAGCTTAAGCAGTTGTTGTTCTGGTGGCAGCTGTAAAACTGTTTTTCGTGTCCCGTGTAAAAAACTCATGAGTTTGTGTGATATTTTCGTGTTTTCTGTCCCTCATCCTCTCCGGACGAGCCGCCTCCCGGTGCAGAGGGCGGTCCAGCAACAGCACCATGATCCTGCTAGCTGCGCTCAGGCTAGCATGCTAACAAACACTTTCCAAGATAGCACAATGAACAGTATGAAGTATTTTAAACTTAAACCACTGAAAAACATTGACAGCATCATCGGGAGCTAGGGGTGTCTTTTCTCCCCCTACAGCAGTCGCTTGCATGGACTTTACCATAAAGCTAACGCGGCAGCTTGTGAGTTCCCGAGCGGGGCACGGATGGGATTAAGTCGGCTAGCCGCGGCTAATGACGGTGCTAGCTCCGCGGCTAACCGGTTGGCGTTAGCTTTCTAACTCAGGTAGTGTTGTGCATTTCTTTATTTTCCTTTAGTTGTTCATTTAAGCACATACACTGTTATTCACACAGCACACTGCAGCTTTGTGTCCATTAATGTAATCACGTCAGACTAAAATGAGCTGTTTGAGGCGACATTTATATAATGCAAATTGTTGTTTTGCTAGCATATTGGATATTTGGCTCGCTGGGAAACAACACCTAAGTTAAATAACAAAGAAAAAAAATAGATAAATCTTAACAGCAGCTAAATTCAGACAAGTTCACCAAACTGTCAAGCCCTGACTTATTTCTCTGTGTTGATTACTTTAAAACAATGTGTGGTTTGAGTTTTGTGAGCTAAAGGTTGTTTACAAGATGATTGAAGTGATTTCACTGGAAAAAGTTATCAGATCATCGCAGCGCCTTCATAACTTCATAACTTTATTAAGACATTGTCATAGCCTTAGTGTAGTACAGTTCAGTTCAAACGACATGAGCTGGCTCATTTACTTATAGTTTTATTGCCAACTACCAGTAAGTCCTCTCAAACAAAGATAAATCATTAATCTTCTTTATATAAAACACTTTATACATTGGAGTGTAACTCTTCAGTGCTATACAGAAAATAAAATCATACAAAACATAAAAAGCAACAAACAAAATTCACACACAGAACAATTTAAAACAGCAACAAGATTAAAAATAATGAAACCGTTGAACCTGTAATGAAGACGCTAACTCATGAAATTTCAAGTACAGTATAGATAAGATCAAATGAACTTTAGGCCACAAGTGGCAACATTACACAATGCATTTATGACAACAAGCACAGATGCAAGATAACAAGGGGAAACAACTTGCTAAATATTTTAAAACGAGTACACGCTTACTTCAGCACTTGTTGTTTAGTGTCTTTATAGCAAAATAAATGACTTATTGCACTGGTTAATTTACATCTTGAACTTTCTTGATGAAAGCAAATGAAAGTGAAACATTGTCATATCATTCACAATCTTTTGTGCTTCTCTACAGAGAGTTTTTCATATAATGTCTGAAGGTAAAGATGTTTTTTTTTTTATCTTAAAAATCTTTTTACCTGTATAAAGCCAAGCATTCCAGTTTTAACTGGACAGGCAGACAGGCCACACTCTCGAAAATCACATTTATATAATAAATAAAATAGAATACATGAATTCTAACATCTAAATATTAGTAAAACCAAGACACACAAAAAAAGAGAAAAAAAACAACAACAACAACAGAAGTTTAAATAACGTTACTATTTTCTTCTTAAAAATAAATCCAGAGTATTTAAAAATTAATAACAAGAGATCAAAATAAATTACAAGTATTACATTTATTCAACTTAGAGTCAAACTAGATGTATGTCAAATAAAAACACAACTTACTAAATTCATGAATAAATAATTATACTTAAAGCCAGACTAGTCAGATGAGTCTTGAGTTTGTTTTTAAAATCATCAGCGCTCTCAGCTGTGCTCGGAGTCACAGACGAGGCCCAGAATAAGAAAATGATGCCTCAAACTGGCTTGACCTCAAATTTGTAACTTTAGGTAAAATCAGAACATCATTTCCAGAGTAACCTCATGGGTCTGGGTTATAATTTGCTTTAAAAGCTTGAAAGAACCTTTCTGTTTGTTTTAGTTAGCTTATTCCCAATCGTTTTGTGACAAAGGTTAAATATGGATATGCTAAAGTTCGTCTACTTATTATTATGCCCTGTCAGTTTGCAAAAAATTACTGTCATTTTTGAATCCTTCCACACTAGACAGAGGTACTGGTAGTTATATAATTTTGTTTCTTTCTCACAGTTGGCTGACGCTGCTCTGCTAATTACCAGGCTAGATTTGCTGGCACAACCATGCCTCCCAGACCCTCCTCAGGAGAGCTATGGGGGATGCACTTGATGCCCCCCAGCATCCTAGTGGACTGCCTGCTGCCAAATGGCATGATTCTCACATTGGAGTGTCTCCGAGAGGCCACGCTCATCACGGTCAAGCATGAGCTTTTCAAAGAAGCCAGGAAGTACCCTCTTTGCCATCTGCTGCAGGAGGAGAGCTCGTACATCTTTGTCAGCGTCACCCAGGAGGCAGAGCGAGAAGAGTTTTACGATGAGACAAGGAGACTGTGCGATCTCAGGCTGTTTCAGGCCTTCCTCAAAGTTATTGAGCCTGTGGGCAACAGAGAAGAGAAAATTCTTAACAGAGAGATAGGTATGCTCCTGCGCCTCCTTTTTACTGCATTATACCAAATCATTGTTCTCCACAGTAATGTAACAGTTGCTGCCCTTATCCTAGTGGAAAGCAATAATGTGGATCGTATACTGTTGAATATATTACATTATTTATTAAATTAATTTTAACTTTTTATTCTCTTTTGTAGGTTTTGCTATTGGAATGCCCATATGTGAGTTTGATTTAGTGAAGGACTCAGAAGTGCAGGACTTCAGAAGGAACATTTTAAATGTTTGCAAAGAAGCAGTGGACCTCAGAGACAGTAACGGAGCCCACAGCAGAGCTTTGTATGTCTATCCTCCAAATGTAGAATCGTCAGCAGAACTTCCCAGGCACATTTATAACAAGCTAGATAAAGGTAAGATGCCTTACTTTTGTTGTCTTTATTGTGTTTTGGACAATTCCACGCTGGTGATACAAATGTCTAATCCTGTACTAGGCTCCAGAGGACCAGATTGAACTTTTTTGGATTTTTCTACCTGGATTATTGAGCATGCATCAGGATGTACTAGGCTTGGTTTTTGAGTTTGCAGAAACTTACTGGGGGCAAGCAAACTTGGCTGGCCTGCCATGTTCATTTGATTTAGGTGCAGGATGGTGTTAGGCATGCAGGAATGCAAAGTTCCCATAAAAATACCTGCTCCATAATTAGCAATGAAGCTAGTAATTAGCAGCATGCCAAATATGTAGAACTTCAAGTGTGTGTATATATTTACAGTATATAAAACCTGAAGAAATGGGCAAACAAGCCACATTCACATGAATGATCTTTTTTTTCAGTTTCATATCACAATCTCAACTAACTATTTGACTTTGAATAAATAATTAATTGCTCTTTGTCATGTATGGGAGGGCATTACTCTCGTCAGTCACTGAGTACATTACAGACACCAGCAAGACTAGTTGTGTTGACGCTTTCTCTTTTGATTTGATTAAGTCGAACATAGGTCTAGTCATACCACATGACCTAAGATAAGATAGAACTTTATTGATCTTGCAGGAAATTGTTGTGCCAGGGTTTCAATACAAAGGAACAAACACAAGAAATCACACAAGATAAAAAAAAAAACAACAGAATATAAAAATACCAACAATTAAGGTCCAAAACAGGTTAGGAGCAGACAGAAACATTTAAGTGTTTATTGTGTGCAGGATTAATTTTATTGTCCTATGTGTAGAAAGGGGGAGGAGTTGAAAAGTTTGATAGCCACAGTGAGGAAGGACTTCCTGTGTTGTTCTGTGGAGAACCTCGGTGGTCTCAGTCTACAACTGAAGGTGCTGCAGTGAGAGTCCAGTGTGGTTGCAGGGTGTGTGACATGTTGTTCAGGATCTGGAGCAGGTTCTTCAGCATCCTCTGCTCAGACACCTCTGTCAGAGACTGCCGGTCCACTCCCAGAACTGAGCCAGCTCTCCTGATGAGTTTATCGAGTCTGTTGGCATCAGCTTTCTTCACCCTGCTGCCCCAGCACACCACAGCGAAGAAGAAGACGCTGGAGACCACCGAGTGGTAAAACATCTGCAGCATGGTCCTGCAGATGTTAAACTATATAGATTTTAAGGTTTGTAGAAACTTACGGTTTCATTCATCATCCTCTCTGGATGATGGAATACACTGGTGAAGATTCTCAGTCATCCAGGACATGATAAAATCAAGACAAAAAGTTCAAGACAAAACAACTGGACTTTATTTGTTACTGAAGACGTTTCGCTTCCCAACCGAGGTGCTTTCTCAATTCAAAGAACAGAGAGTGTGGGGTTTTGAGTTATAAAGCTGAACACCTCAGAACTAGGCTTGTTGCAATAAACAATAAATCAATTAATCGCATGATAAATGAAAATTATCGACCTCATTTTCATTTATCGGCTTTATTGTTTCTTCTTGCCTCTCTTTCTACTGAAGACACTGGATCACAAAAGGCTCAACTCCAGTGCTCTTCATTGATCCCTCGCTTTCTTTTAAAAATCCTTTTAACTGTCCAAAATCGCGTCTTTGAATCGTTAAAAGCAGCTAAGCTGAGAAGCTAAGCTACGAGTTAAGCTAACAGCCCGACCTCGGGGAAAAAACTTCCGTCTTGTCGAAGCTCCAAAATTCACAGTTGAAATCTGTGTCTTTGTGTAAAAAGTTGTTTTTCTCTGCAAAAAGAAGCTGAGAACTTGTTTGCTGATTTTTATTAAAAGCTTTGTGTGAAAAGTGCTATGCTAAAGAGCTCAAACCACACTGAGCGTCTGCCATTTTGAGAACTGAAAAACAGAAACAAGAGACAGCTCATGTCACTCTTTACTAATTATTGTTAAATTTCAAACAATATTATCATTTATTGCAATAATTACTGAGACAATTAATTGCCCAGCAAAATTTGTTATCATGACAGGCCTACTCAGAACAGAACACCTCACCAACTCAAAACTCCACACTTTCTTTCTTTGAATTGAGAAAGTTCCTCTGATGAGAATCAAAATGTTGTCCGTTACTAGATAAAGTCCAGTTGTTTTTGTTTTGAACTTTTTTCTTGATGATGGAATAGTACAGAGATGGACAGGCAGAATTGTGATGTTGATGGACAGACTGACAGATGAAGCCAGGCAGGAAGCACCATGGACTATGGTGTTTGCAGAACACATTAGCCCCTTCTCCATGGGCGTGGCTTTACGCAGCTCGCATCGACTTAGCATCAGTCAAATGTGTTTCCATTACCTGTTCCTGCTTGGTTTTTGGAATCATCTCAGTCATGGTTCCAAGCGAGTGAGGAAGCGATTTTGACGTCGGCGAACTGCATCCATTGATTAGGTTGACATCACTGTATGAGCCAAGGTAGTATTTACAAACTCCTCCTGAAGTGCCATTTTCAATCTGATCGTTGAGTGTACATGTACATTGCTGAAGTGGAGAGCTGCAAATCAGGCTATTCCTTGGTCGAATGATGAGGTGCAAACTTTTTTATTAATTTTGTCAAATGAGCACATACAGCGTGAGCTCGACTGAGATGTTATATTCTAGCATATATTCTATATATTCTAGTTTCCCCTAGATTACTGGCTTTGGCAGGGCGTCTGTCAGACGAGGGGATAAGAGAGCTGAGCATTACATAACTGATGTTGTGATTGTTGGTGGGGGGTTAGCAGAGTGCCAAGTTATCAATGCTAGGTCAAAGCCACATATCCTGTGGCGACTGGTCCTTGGCAACAATCTCTGTTCCCTGACGGTTAGCAGAACTTCAAGATTCAAGGTTTTTTATTGTCATTTACATCACATATGGTACATGTGGTGGAATGAAACTACCGTCGTATACAGTGAGGAAAATAAGTATTTGAACACCCTGCAACTTTGCAAGTTCTCCCACTTAGAAATCATGGAGGGGTCTGAAAATGTAATCTTAGTTGCATGTCCACTGTGAGAGACATAATCTAAAAAACAAATCTGTAAATCACAATGTAAGATTTTTTAATAATTTATTTGTCTTACTGCTGCAAATAAGTATGTAATTTTCAAATGTCATTCCGTTTTTTTCTAATGTGATTCAAGCCACTTCTGCTAGAGCCACTTCCGCTTCTGCCACTTCCGCTTTGGCTTAATGTGATTCTGCTTTTTCTAACGTGATTCTGTTTTTTCAAATGTAATTCCATTTTTTCTAATGTGATTCCGGCTACTTCTGCTTTGGACACTTTCACTTTGGCTTAATGTAATTCCGTTTTTTCAAATGTAATTCTGTTTTTTCCAATGTAATTCCATTTTTTCAAATGTAATTCTGTTTTTTCAAATGCAATTCCATTTTTTCCAATGTAATTCCGTTTTTTCTAATGTGATTCCGTTTTTTCTAATGTGATTCGAGCCACTTCCGCTTGGACCACTTCCGCTTTGGCTTAATGTATTTCCATTTTTCTAAGGTGATTCTGTTTTATCAAATGTAATTCTGTTTTTTCTACTGTGATTCCGGCCTCTTCCACTTTGGCCACTTCCGTTTTTTCAAATGTTGTTGTGATTTTGTTGTTTTTGTTGTGTTTTTTTAAATGTCATTCCGTTTTTTCAAATCTTGTTCATTTACACCTTAGGGCCACCATACTTTTGTGTGACTAACTTTCTCCTAGGTGTGAGTGTGGATGGTTGTTTGTCTTTTTGTCTTTGTCCCAGTGATGGAGACTTGTCCAGCATGTCTCCTGCCTTCACCGAAAGGCAGCTGAGAGGGGTTCCATCTTCAACTCTGACACTGATTAGGAACAAGAGAGACATAATGGATGGTTTAATACAAGAGAAACCATAAATATTTAAACATAAACCATTATTTCTTTTATGTTAATCTTAAGTCAAGTAATAACATTCAAAATTCAGTATATTTTGTAAGTATATTTGTAGACAGTTTGTAGGAATTAACACATTTGTAACACTGAATCAAAATTAGAGCCCGACCAATATGGAAATTTTTGTCTATCGCCGATACAGATTTTGGGAGGAGAATACGACCTCTAATAACCAATATAATGGCTAAAAATGTTTTAGCTTTGTCCACCCTCAAGAATATAAGAAAACATCGAGTGTTGAGGAGCTTGTTTAGCACTTCTGTTAGCAACCATGAAGCTAAACAAATCAGATCCATGCTATACGTAATCCCACAGTAGGTTTACAAATGGTGCAGTGGTCATAAAAACAGTCTTCCTAATGTGCATCCACATTTTCTATCCTCCAATATTCACCTTAAAGTTATCAAGTGTGTTACATAAATATAAATTAAACAAAGACACACCCTTCCCTGTTCATTGTTTAAACAGTCAGTCACATATGGTGACGGTCTAATTAGAATTGACCACAGCAGCTTAATTTTTTTCTTTGCAGAGAAGTAAAGATTTCAGACAGACGAAATCTTCATTGAGGACGACAAAGATAACGTTACTAATACTGAATGTCCTCACAAACTGTACGCTCAATCCGACACGACTGGTTGTTATAACTACTGACAACGGGGCTAATGTCGTGAAGGCTGTGCAGCTGAACGAACACTAATGTTAGCTCGATAACCTTAGAGGCTCATCGCTAATGACAAGCAGGTTGGAGGATTGAGGTGAATTTATTATTGTTGATTTTTTCATTTTATTTTACAAATCAGTTAAAATTAACTTATCATACTCTGTTCAGCAAAATACACCACACACAGTATTGCTCCCTGCTTCATCTGTGCTGAACGTCAAAAGTGAAATTTAAAATGAACGGTCATGACTTGAAAGTAGTCTTCATGCGCCCTCTGCTGGATACAGTGTACAATTACAGCTGGTTGCCAGCAATTTAGGGGTGAAAATTAGAAGTGCTTATATCGGCGCATCATGGGACCCAAACACCTGTATCGACCTAAAATATCGTCCCCACCAACATGTCGGTCGGCTCTAATCAAAGTACACCTTGTTCTTAATAATTAACTTCTGTAACATTTTTAAAAGAAGCTTGTTAACAGTAAAATTTGAAAAATCATGCCCGGTTTGTACTAATCATAGTCTTTGTAACACTTCGGAAGAGTTCTTACTCATGTAGAAACAAAATATAATTTATGTAATATAAATAAAAACGGACAATATATAATTGAATTATGTCAAATTACTACTGATCCTTGAATCTGCAGCATTTTTAACTAATCATCATATCTTTTACACATCTTTTACTATTAGTTTTTAAATAAATCACATTATTCATCGCTTCTTTCAAGACTTCCCCATATGAAAATGCTTTTTTTCTTTGTTAAAATGTTTGCAGCTCTAAATGAAGCTTCATTAGCTTATGGTGACTTTTGCACTGTCCTTGTGGAGAAAGTTGGCTGTTTGTTCAAAGTTGCCTTTTAACTCCTGGCATTTTTCTGCCCGTCGTCCGCTGCCAGACTGGTAGTTAGCATTAAAGCTAATGTGATTGGTACTGGTAGTGTCGTTTCACATTGTGGCGTTTCGCTGTCTGCACAGTGGCCTCACAAATGAGACAAGCGCACTTGTCTTTCACAACTGTGGAAAAAAGCTTGCTTCTTCACAGTCTTTGTGAAAATAATGTTTTCTTGTTTTTTTTTCTGCCATTTCCCCCTCTATTCTGGAAGGTAGAAATACCTTGTAGCTGCACTGCTCGCGAGTCTCGGCAAACCGGTCATAGTACATCCGCTCATGATTCTGAACTTTAACCCCAGATAAGGTTGCTACACTGTATACAGAAATAATTTATTTTTCAGTTGTTTATTAAGTATTTTAATTTCAAATCTACACCTATACAAGTTTTATTGTATAAATTTAAAATAATTTAAATACGATTTTGAATGGAGGGGACAATTGACAGATGGATTGGTGCAGCGTCTACAGTACAGTTGTCCCTCATTTATCGAGGGGGATCCGTACCCTGAAGACCTGCGATAAGTGAAAACCGCAATGTAGGAATAGCAGTACAAGTAGTAAGTAGTACCGGTAGTTTATATATATATATATATATATATATATATATATAAAGGTGTTTTAAACCCTTCCCACACTCTTGCAATATTATAAACAATGTTTCTAAACTCTAAACGCTCTAAAAGAGCACAGAATGTCATGATTTCAGCTCTCTGCCTCCTCTGCTCTTTGCCACCTGCAAGTGCTCTTTGCCACGCCCACTTCTCTCGTTACAGTGAACAGCTGATCAGCTGCAGCAGGAAGTTTAACCTGCGGTATGGGCTGCACAGAGGTGAAGGAGGAAGCTTTTTCTGCAGCTCTGGGCTGCACATACAGTAGGTGCAGCAGGTGCTAAATAATTTAAAATAATTTATTTTAAATAAAAATTTCATGCCGATTGTGCGGCTCATCCATCAATCAGTCAATTGTGCGTCATGTCCAATCTTATTTTGAAAAACCGCCATAGAGCGAGTCCACGATAAACGAACCTCGAAGTAGTGAGGGACTGCTGTATTGCGGACTCTGTGTCGGTTTGTTGTGGTGAAGAGGGGGCTGAGCTGTAAGGTGTAGCTCGTTGTTTACTGGTTGGTCTACGTTCCTACACTCACCTATGGACACGGACTCGGTTTAGTGAGCGACCGAACAACGAGCCCCCACAACTCGACTTTGGATAGAGCAGAAGATAATGGATGGAAGGAAATATGACAATTAGGCAGTGCTCATTGATGACAAGTGCTATTTTTAGAACATGCCCTGCAGGTAACTCGCGGTCAGTGCAGGTGATCAGGTGCCCGTGACCCCTGATCCACATGTTTCCATTTACTTGCACAGTAATTGGTTTTTGATTGGTTTTTGACACATTTCTCATAGAAACATTAAGAAATTCATGTAAATCCTGAAGAAAAAAAATGATTAACACATTTTATAGTAGCTGCAATATTAAATGTCTGATCAATTTGATTGATAGGTTGGTTCTTGCCACCTGCGCAGCTACTTAACCAGTAATTTTAGTGCTGTCTATAAGCCAAATGTAGGTTTACTTTTTTAAGGTATTCTTACCAAATTAAGAGGAACTCTACGTGTAGGAACTTTTAGAAATTTGCCAAATAATATTTTCTACTAAATAAAGCCAAATGTCAATTGTCCCTCAAAAGTTGCCACATGTGATGAAACCAATTTAGTTCCATGGCCTGTAAGCAAAGACTAAAGCTCCTGTGACAGTGTGGGTACCACCACACAAACCTTTCAATTGACATTATTGAAATACAAAGTACTGAAACTCGCCTCATTTTGACTGCATTTGTTTGTTTGAGCTCTAGTAGCATTTGAATATGATTGTTTCTCATGAGTTAGAGCAGGGGTGTCCAATCCTGGTCCTGGAGGGCCACTGTTGCATGTTTTCCCAGTTTCCCTGCTCCAACACATCTGATTTAATAGCTGAATTACCTCTTTATGTGGTGCAGCAGCTTGTTAATCACCCATTGATTCAAATAAGGACACCCCTGAGGTCAGAGCATTTAAAGCTGAACGATGAACTGAACCACATTTAACCTCTTAACAACAAAACATCTAACACGCTTCTAAAATGAAACAAAACAAAAACGAAACAACCCCGCTCCAACGTTAACTGTGAAGCTTCCTCCTTTTCTTGTCATGTGTAGATGTTCACGCGCATCAGTGACCACACGATTAAGGAGAGCAATTTGTATCCAGCTGTGTTAACATCATTTGCCATCCTATGCCACTGATTTTTTTTTTTTTTTTCCTTTTGTTATTTGCCGTAGAGGAAATACTTCTATAAAAAAAATTAAGGCTTGTCTCCACCTCCGACACTACATCTATTTAATGTTCAGTGTAATTCTTTTAATGCTTTACTTAACGCTTTTGCCATGGCTTTTTGGGCACGGGGTGGAAGCTTGCTGTGTCTTTATACAGTTTGCATTTTTATTTATGGTACAAGGTGATCCATGTGGCACGTGCAGCTGCACTCTGTTCCATGTAAATTGGGACGTATGAAGGAAAGGTGTGCAGAGACATGCATGCGGATGGTTTATATCTGAATAATTTTTGATCAGCTGCACACTCTTTCATTCATGAGGTTCCAGATATTAAGAAGATTCTAAAATTATTCAACTTTATCAAGTATTAAAAAAACACACCAGTTTCCAACTTGTCGTTTTTTGAAATTAAATTTTAATTCAAAATAAAATAAAAATAAAAAACTGTGAAAAATGTTTGTCCACCCTTGCTGTCTTCATAGGATTTGAGCGGCAAAGTCATACACGTGATTGACCAATCATCATTGGGACCACCTTTATCAAATAAATGTAGTTTTTGTGAAAACCAAATTCAGCACCTTATACCAGCTGTTAAACATGATGGTGGAGGGCTGGTGATTTGAGCTTGTTTTGTGGCCACAGGACTTGGACGTTTTGCAGTGGACCATGAACTCCTCTGGAGACCAAAGAATTTTAGTTCCAAATGTGAGACCACCTGTCCGACAGCTGAAGCTTGGACCAAACTGGGTCACGATGCAACAGAACAATGATCCTAAACATAGCCGCTAATCTACATTAGAACAACTCAAAAAGAGACTAATCAAAGTGCTGGAATGGTCCAGTCAAAGTCCAGACCCTCAGCCTGATTGAAATGCTGCGGTGGGATCTTTAAATAGCTGAGCAGAAACAAATGTCAAATGAAAAGAATGGGTCAAAATTATTCCACAATCATGTGAGAGACTGATAAAGTTCTACATAAAGCCACTTGACAGGTTCTCGGATCCTGGTAAAGAGTTTGGACTTTGTTTATCCACACAGTTTTTTTTTTCATTTTGTGCTATATCTTTGTTAATTAATAGTGACAAGGTGGAATAACATTTTTATTTCATCTTATGCCCTGGAACTATAAGAGTGGACAGTTTTGTGACTAGTCCAGGCAGATGTAGAGGCATTCAACATGGGTATAGTAATTTGGCTTGCATCTTCTCTGTATGAAAGACAAAACATCTTATTTTCTTCTCCTTAGGTCAAATCATTGTGGTCATTTGGGTCATCGTTTCACCCAGCAACGACAAGCAAAAGTATACGTTGAAGATCAACCATGATTGTGTGCCAGAGCAGGTGATTGCTGAAGCCATCCGTAAAAAAACACGAAGCATGTTGCTCACCCAGGAGCAGTTGAAGATGTGCGTCCAAGAGTATCAGGGAAAGTACATCCTCAAGGTCTGCGGCTGTGACGAGTATCTTCTGGAGAAATACCCCATTAGTCAGTACAAGGTACTCTTCTTTACAGCTGATAAGCCTGTAAAGAATACCATTAACTCCAAAATGTCACAGTCTGAACCATTTCAAAATGTTGATTTGTCTTCAACAGTACGTACGCAGCTGCATCATGCTGGGGAGAATGCCCAACTTGATGTTGATGTCTAAAGACAGCCTATATTCCCAGCTGCCCATGGACAACTTCACCATGCCGTCATATGCTAGGCGGATATCCACAGCGACACCCTACATGAACGGTGAAACAGCCACCAAGTGTCTTTGGACCATCAATGGAACGCTGAGGATAAAGATACTCTGCGCTACTTATGTCAATGTAAACATCAGAGACATTGACAAGGTACAGCTGCAGTATGTCACGGCTCATCTGTGACTAAAGCCTGCTATATACTTCCAGAGACATAAGATATCTGTTCTCGCTTACATGGTTGTGAGATGTTCTTTTTTGTGTAGACATTTTATACTCTTAAGAGAAACTACAGGAGAGTACCCCTCAAAGCCCTGTCAATGAAGCATCTGTCAATGAAGCACAGGCGATGCAGAATGAGTCCCTATGCTGCCCAGCCGAGGTGTACTCCCTCCCAACTAGCATGAGAAATGCATGTGTTTTTGTGCTGACTCCTCCATGCACAAAAATTGTGCTGTCTCATTCCACAAGTTTGTTAAATATCTTTATAATATTTATTTGACTATCTTTATGAATTTTGCAGTAAGAGTCGTAAAGAAGTCTGTATTTTCTAACAGCCTCGGCCAACTGCTCCTAAGTGAAGTTGTTGAATCAAAACAAGAGCAGTGTAATTTAACTGTTTTTCCACATAAACACACAACTCCCATCAATGAAAACAGATATCTTAATGTCTTGCAGAGTATAAATCAATAGAAATATTTTCTTTCTGTAATTTCACAACTACGTACCTTTTTAAGTCACGAAGGTGATGTCTGTCTTTGTCTGTCCCTGTCCCTAAAATAAGGATGTTTTAATCACCTTGGTTGAACTGTGCATAAATTCTCTGCTCTTGTTGTGACTGTAGATCTACGTCAGGACTGGGATTTACCATGGTGGAGAGCAGCTGTGTGACAATGTCAACACCCAACGCGTGCCTTGCTCAAATCCCAGGTAGAAATGTGAAGAAAGCATTATGTTTAATGTGCTGGGATTTCAGACACCTTTTTAATCTTGTCCATTTCCTGTTGATTTCAGGTGGAACGAGTGGTTAAACTACGATATGTACATTCCAGAAATTCCCAGAGCTGCCCGACTCTGCCTCTCCATCTGCTCTGTGAAAGGAAGGAAAGGAGCTAAAGAGGTTAGCAGTGAAATACAGAAATATCACATCTAAACTGTAATGTTTAAAATGTTATGGTCATGAACAATACAAGGCTGTTTAGTCAGAATATTTTAAAGATCTTGTGGGATTATGCTGAGAGTCAATCTATAACCCCAAACTAGGAAAAGTTAAGAGGGTATGAATAATTATGATACTCATTCATACTCGATCAAATCAGATTCATGCTAAACAAAGTCCCACAGTAGGTTTACAAGTGCACTGGTCATAAAAACAATTTTCCTAATGTGTGTTCACATTTTCTATCTTCGACTATTCGCCATAAAGTTATCAAGTGTATTAACATAAATATAAATTAAACAAAGAAACGCCCTTCTCTGTTCGTTGTTTAAAAGGTCAGTCGTGTATGTTGAAGGTCTAATTAGCATTGGAGGCAGCAGCAGATTTTTTTTCTTTGCAAAGAAGTAAAGACTTCAGACAATCAATGCATTTCATTGAGGATGACAAAGATAACGTTACTAACACTGATATATATATCTACGTAAGATTTATTGTTCTGGATAACGTTTTATAAGGCAATAGCTTATGCTAGTTATATAAATGTTAGCTTGCTAATTTGAGAGGCACGTAGCTAATGACAAGCGAGTTGGAGGATTGAAGATAAATTATTATTGCTGATTTAATTTACAGATCAGTTAAAATAAACTTACCATGCTCTCGCTGTTCAGCAAAATACACACAGTATTGCTCCCTGCTTTGTTTATGCTGAAAGTGAAAGTGAAACTTAAGTGAACGGCAGTGACTTGAAAGTAGTCTTCATGCGACCTCTGCTGGATACATTGTACAATTATGACTGGTTCCAGCATTTTAGGGGTGAAAATTTGAAGTACTTATACCAGCGTATAATGGGACAATTATCACCAATACTGATAGGTTCCCAAACGTTTATATCATCCTAATTTATCACCCTACCGTTATACTGGTCGGGCTCTAGTACAATCCTTTCAGATCCAACATTTTTCAGTCAGATCATCTGGACAGTTTCTTTTTTTCTGCTGAAATGTTTCGCCTTCGATCCAGAAGGCTTCATCAGTCAAGGAAACACACAACAAATCTGATTCTTCCCCCAACAGCTTACTCCAAAGTGGTGTAGTAGTAACGTACGGACGTACGCCACCAACTGTAGTAGTACATATACGAGATATATATGCATACTTTTCACGAGTTCCTCATCTTTCTGACTGTGTAATGTCGTGCATTGAATTTTAACAGAAATGCGAACGAGAGACGTTATTATCTTTGACCCATCAAATGAATGCGGTCATTTATTTTCAGAATCAAAGTTTAACATCAAACATTTACATTAATTTGGCAAAATATGAAAATAATAACAGACAAGTTTCACAAATAATGAGCTTCAATTACGCGGCGGTGATTGAGGACTTAGCTTCAGATATTTCTAAATACCTGTACTGAATTTAGGAGAAAGCAGAGTTTAAGATGGAGATTTATCTTACAGAGAGATATGTGAGGGAATTAATCTGTTATGACCAGAACGTGCACGCTCCATCAGATATCAGCTGGCCTCCGGTACACTTAGTCGAAAATAGAACCCTCTACCTGGTTGACGATGGAATCAGCGTCGGAGTAGGTTCCTTTCTGACTCTTTCAGCATCTCCGTGAGAACTGCCAAACCCTCAGAGAGTCGTACGTGGTGTTCAAACAGAATTATAATCCCAACATCGTCACTGCATTCTGTATTCCAGCGGAAGCACTCTGGGCTTCAGACATCAGAGTTTTCCCCATCAGACATCAGAGTTTTCAGACTCTAGAACTTCTTCAGAACCTCCATCACTCTGAGACTCTTAGACTCTATCACTCCCAGACTCTTGCAACTCTGCTTCTTGCAACTCCTGCATGAACTGGGAAGTTGCCACATTTTAAATGGGTCGACTTCCGGGTCATTTGAGAGCTTTTGATTGGTCTATGGACCAGGAAAAGGTGTGGTTTGTGATGTAAGATGTTATCATAAGTCGAGGTCAGAGAATGAGATTGTTCAACAACTAACAGAAAGATAATTGCAGAAAAACCAGACTTCGTGGCGTCTCCCTCTTATTATCTTCTGAAAAAGTTTAAACATGACATTTTTCCTCGGTAAACATTTTAGTTGACCGAAACCGACCTTTAACATACTTACAAAACTTGGCTCATTTCAGACAGAAAATCAAGAAATGCATATTAACCTGATTTCTTCTTTGAATGAGGAATAAAAATCATTACTTACTGTTTATGTAAAATAAAATGAGTAGTTCTCTTCAACCTGTGAATCATTGAGTGAACTAACACAATTTGATTATCAAACATTTGTAAAATAGTAATGATTATAAAAAGAGAGTGTTCTTTTCACTTGAATCTTCAAGAAAGAAAGTCTCCAGATGGCTCAAACTGTATTCAGATCAATGAAATAACAGTCTCTGTCCATCTGATAGATTTGAGGTCATCAGGGTCAGATCAGGTTCACTACAGTGGAACAAACCAGTTCTGCTTGTGATAAGATGGTCTCTTTGGTACGCCCCTCATCCATTGCCGGCCCTCTTCCTTGTTGACAGTCGTGTCAAACTGGTTGAAAACAACAAAGTCCATGCTCAATAATCCAGGTATAAAATCCAGCATTTTTCAGTCAGGTCATCTGGACAGTTTCTTTTTTTTTTGTGCTGAAACGTTTTGCCTTCGATCCGGAAGGCTTCATCAGTCAAGGAAACACAGAGGGCCAGCAATGGAGGATGGGCGTACCAAAGAGACCATCTAATCACAAGCAGAACTGGTTTGTTCCACTTTGGAGTAAGCTGTTGGGGGAAGAATCAGTTTTGTTGTGTGTTTGCTTGACTGATGAAGCCTTCCGTATCGAAGGCAAAACGTTTCAGCACAAAAAAAAGAAACTGTCCAGATGGCCTGACTGAAAAATGTTGGATTTTATACCTGGATTATTGAGCATGAACTTGTTGTAATCCTTTCAGATGTTTTATTAATTTCAAAAACTACTTGGCTAAGATAAAACATTTTAGTTTTTTATTTTCTGTATGAAAAATGTACTTCCTATGAACGACTTATTCATGTGGCATCCTTGCTACAAGTAGGTATTTTTTCAGTTGTGATACCTACTATTCAAGAGAAGTGCAATGAGTGCCACACATCTAAAGCGCCAGTTTAAATGGCAACTCCACTTTTTAAGTCACATTTTGCACCAGCCATGCTTCATGCACTAGCATAATTCCAGTTTTAAGGTGGACAAACAGAGCTGGGTTGTTGTTTTTTGCTTTTATTTCAGAATTCCCTTTGCATTCTCTGTTTGAGACCAAACAGCACAGCAGGCAGATCAGTCCAAATACCTTTGGCTTTTTTACCCATACCCTTTTATTTGTGGTTGTGCATTGCTACATAGTTAAAATATGCACAGAAGTCTCTGCTAGAGTGGTCATACTGAAGCAGAATTTGATGCTTTGAATTTCTTTCATTTCTTTTTTAAAATGTTTTTCTTGTCATTGTCAAACAGGAAATACCCTGTACATGATAACTTCTAATAAATTTAGCTAGTCTTTTTTTTTTTTTCAAGGAAAAAAAGGTCAGGAATTGTACTAATTTTTTTTACAATCACTTGCTGACATTTTCTTTTTGGGAAAATTAGTTTTACTTCAATATTCTCACTAATAAAGTATGTTAATATATTAAAATCCTATTTCAGATGTTTGTTTTTTTTCTCTTTTGGAAAATGTTTCAGGCTGTAAATTTGGGAAAGAGGTTACATATGAATTGAACTGGATGCGTTGGTATGGCTTTTAGACACCATTAAATGTCTGTCTGCCTGGAATTAATTGTCATGGTCTCTAAAGCTACATGTCATTGTAAGGCATTTTAAGAGATTCTAATAAATTACTAAAGATTAGAGATGCAATACAAAATAATTATTTGTAGTATTTCTATGACATGAAACAAAGTGATTTCACAAAAATAATGTCTTGAACATCATAACAACACAGAATAAACGTCATATGAGTTTTTGTTGTTTATTATTATTACAAATAAGTATTAACATTATCAAGGGTTACAGCAGGCTAACAACGTTTCCAGCTGCAAAGTGACCAGTTTTATGAATTGTGTTTGGAGCTTTGTTTTTATTAAAGAACTTAATTAAATCAATGTTGTTAGAGCAAATGAAACAGGCCTTTATTTCGTGAGTGGCTTGTAATTTTGTGTACAAAGAGGAGGGTGGAGTGAAAGGAGTTGGCCATGTGCTGCCAGTCATCTGTAGCCCTTCATTTTCCTTGCTGTTTGTTTCACTTCTCCCTAATTAAAACTGCTTTGATGCCCACAAACATTGAAAACAACTTTATTGTGCTTTGGAGGATTTTTATTTTTTAGAAAGAACGATGGTCTGACAAATGTATTTATCACTTGACATTAGTTTTGTGTCATATGTTTTCTATTTGGGTGTAAGTCAAAGTAGATAAGAGAACTGTTTAATGTTTGTGTGTAAAAAGGGATGCCATTCGTTATGGACCATTCCTTTCTGTTTTAGTTCCCTGAGCTGTTGCCGTCCTAATGGTTTTTATATTCATGTCCCGGTTATTTCCATGTAGGAGCATTGTCCCCTCGCCTGGGGCAACGTCAACCTGTTTGACTACACTCACACATTAGTAGCAGGAAAGATGGCTCTCAACTTGTGGCCGGTTCCACATGGCCTAGAGGACCTGCTCAACCCCATTGGTGTCACAGGCTCTAACCCCAACAAGGTAAGCATTTGTTAGCTAAATTTTCTCTCCTTTTGCTACTGGGGATTTCAGATTTCATCCAGATGTGGTAAATAGATGGTGAACATGCTTGCTTTCTTTCTTGCTTTCTTGCTCTAGTTTCTAGCTCAACTAGAGCCGTCCGTCTTCTACATGGTCCATCCATCTATCCATCCATTCATCTAACCAACCTCCCTACCCAATAGTAGCACAGCGATATAGTTCTCCCACATGCACACATGGATTTTCTCAGTGCACACCATTTTCCTTCCACAGACCAAAAACATGCATGTTAGGTTAATTTGTAACTAAATTGTCCCAAGATGTGAATGAGGACTGTGAATGGTTGTCTGTCTTGTTTGTCTCTTTGTCTCTTGTTTGCAAGTTCATCACAGGGACACCCCTGTGATGAACTTGCGACTTGCCTCCGGTGTCCTCCCTCTCTCGCACAGTGATTGCTGGAGCTGGGTACCAGCTGCATCTATAGCTACACTGAAAAGTGGCAAAAGAAAATGGATGGGTTGTTGAATTGGTTATCCACACTCATTACCCCATAATGACAAAAAAAGTGTATTATTTTGTTAATTTATTAAAATAAAAACACAAATATATAATTTCCTTAAGTATTTCGGCCTTTTGTAACAACCACTAATAACCATTAATTTAGCTCAGGTTTCTTCTGTTTCTCTTGATCTCTGCTGAGATGTTTTTACATTTTGATTGGAGACCAACTCTGGTAAATTAAATGGTTGGACATGATTTGGAGAGACATTTAGGTAGAACCATGACTTCCTGGGGCTGGGGCTGGTCTCTTGGCCACTCTGAGCAATCTGAGCTATTGAGAGAGAATTAGAGCCTGACTGATATGGAAATTTTGGCTATTGTTTATACTGCTATTGGGAGGGGAGAGCGACCGAACGCCGATAACTGATATAATGGCTGATAATCTTTGCGCTTTTTCCACCCTCAAGAATTTAAAGCCCTATTTGCATGGAATTAGTTTTATCTAGGGACCACATGCTATTTGTAATAATTACGGAGATTGTCTGTGTTGTTAACCCCATGCGAATCGGCCATGTCAGTCATTTGCAAAGTAAAAATTCCCCCGCAAATCACCTACTATATTTTGCTGAACTCTGAGGTTCTGTGATAATACTAATCCAATGCGAATAGGCATCTCTGTGATTTGGACAGAAATGGACGGGATCCAATATGTAATTAAGCATTTTTTGTATCCTGGGCGCATTTTCATTTGTTTTTGGCAATGGAGGCTGCATTGGAGTGCATAAATAACCTTTTGTGTCCCAGACCAGCAAAAGCCTATCGACCCATAACGGAACACACAAGCAACACACGAACAACACACGAACAACACACAAACACACAAGCGGATGTTACACAATACGCATCGTGTTAACATTAGGGGTCGAACGACTACATAATTTTTAAACTCGACATTAACATAATAAAACTCGAGTAGAACTTGAGTAGGTGATGACGTCATAGGATCACAAGATGCAAAAAAAAATAAAATAAATAAAACTGCAAAAAAAGTCATTTATTATTTACAAAAAAAGAGCAACAAAACATTGGGAGAGTATATTATGCTCCTACCATTTATCATACTGCAAATAAGTCACAGGAAAACCAAAACTATTAGTTTTTATTATTAAGCTGCAAAATTAAAGAAATAACGTGCAGCACGTCAAAAATGAAACTAAAAACAGTGGGGTGGACGACCACCCTGCACCACCGCCAGCTGTGGTACGCATTAGGTTTAGTTTTAGAGATTAATATTTTTTGCTTTTAGTTTGTGAAACAAGGTCGGAGGAAGCTGGTTCTGGTTCGATCATTGAACCCGGTCTTACACCATATTCTGTGACCTGCAACAGTGCATGCATCACCGCCCCCTACGGTCACAATATACGGTGGTCACAGAATATGGTGTAACACCAGTTCACAACGAGCTCCAAACAGTCAGGAAGTTGATTCATTGTCTGTTTCTTTACGGTAGTTGAACCAGAAGATTCATCTTTAGTGAAATATTTCCATATTATTGATGCATTTCTACCTGTTTGTCAAGACTGGGCCTGCTCTGCTTAGTCCATCTGCTGGGAGGAATCCATTTGGTAGCTTCTACTAGTAGCCCGGTGCGGATCACGTGACACAATGACGTCACTGCGAATACTCAACATGAAATTTAAAAACTCGATAGATGTCCTAGGAATCGACCTGCTGATTACTCGAGTAGTCTGTTAAAGCCCTAGTTAACATCATATCCAGAAGATGTCCGTAAATTTAATCTATATCTCAGGCTTTTGGTTATCCCGTGCGAATGCGCCACATAAAAAGCAGACGTTGGGGAGCAATTTATTTATTACATGTGGCCCCTAGGTAAAACTAATCCTGTGCAAATAGGTCTTTAGAAAACAGCGATTGGAGAGGGACTTGTTTATTTAGCGCTACTGTTAGCAACCATGAAGCTAAGCTAATCAGATCCACGCAATTACCTAGTCTCACACGAGGTTTACAAGTGGTGCTCTAGTCATAAAAACAGTCTTTTCAATGTGCATTCACATTTTCTGTCTTCCACGATTCATCATAAAGTTATCAAGTGTGTTACATAAATATAAATTAAAGAAATGTCCTTCCCTGTTCATTGTTTAAACAGTCAGTCACCTATGGTGAATGCCTAATTAGTACTGACCACAGCAGAGTTTTTTTTCTTTGCAGGGAAGGGGGGGAGGATGCCAGTCAGACCTGGCAGACCCAAACGTATTGTGAGGGTTTGCTGGGAACGTCTGGCAGAGTCTCTTGTGAGACAGAGCTTTAACTCCCACCTCTGGGAGAACTTCGAACATGTTCCGGGGGAGGCGGGGGACATGGAGTCCGAGTGGGCCATGTTCTGTGCCTCTATTGTCGAGGCGGCTTACTGGAGCTGCGGCTGCAAGGTTGTCAGTGCCTGTCGCGATGGCAACCCTCGAACCCGGTGATGGACACCGTCAGTGAGGGATGCTGTCAGGCTGAAGAAGGAATCCTATCGAGCCTTTTTGGCCTGTGGGACCCCGGAAACAGCTGATGGGTACCGGCAGTCCAAGCGACATGCGGCTCGGGTGGTCGCTGAGGCAAAAACTCGGGCATGGGAGGAGTTCGGAGAGGCCATGGAGAATGACTTCCGCACGGCTTTCGAGGCGATTCTGGTCCACCATCTGGAGTCTCGGGGGGTGGGGGGTGGGGGGTTGGGGCGGTACACCACCAACACTGTTTATAGTGGGGGTGGTGTGCTGCTGACCTCAACTCGGGATGTCGTGGGTCGGTGGACAGAATACTTTGAAGACCTCTTCAATCCCACCGGCACGTCTTCCACTGAGGAAGTGGAGCCTGGGGACTCTGGGTAGGGCCCTCCAATCTCTGGTGTTGAGGTCACCAAGGTGGTTAAAAAGCTCAGGGCAGGTCCCAGGGGTGGATGAGATTCGCCCTGAGTTCCTTAAGGTTCTGGATGTTGTAGGGTTGTGTTGGCTTACGCGACTGCAATATTGCGTGGACATCGGGGGAAGTTCCCCTGGATTGGCAGACTGGGGTGGTGGTCCCCCTATTCAAAAAGGGGGACCGTAGAGTGTGTTCCAACTACAGGGGGATCACGCTCTTAAGCCTCCCTGGTAAGTTCTATTCGGGGGTTCTGGAGAGGAGGGTCCGTCGGATAGTTGAACCTCGGATTCAGGAGGAGCAGTGCGGTTTTCGTCCTGGTCTTGGAACACTGGACCAGCTCTACACTCTCAGCAGGGTCCTGGAGGGTGCGTGGGAGTTTGCCCAACCGGTCTACATGTGCTTTGTGGACTTGGAGAAGGCGTTCGACCGCATCCCTCGGGGAACCCTGTGGGAAGTACTCTGGGAGTATGGGGTATGATTATACGGGCCTTTGATACGGGCTGTTAGGTCCCTGTATGACCGGTGTCAGAGCCTGGTCCGCATTGCCGGCAGTGTCGGGCTTGTTCCCTGTGAGAGTTGGACTCTGCCAAGGTTGCCCTTTGTCACCGATTCTGTTCATAACTTTTATTGACAGAATTTCTAGGCACAGCCAAGGTGTTGAGGGGATCTGTTTTGGTGGCCTTAGGATTGCGTCTCTGCTTTTTGCAGATGATGTGGGCCTGTTGGCTTTATCAGATCGTGATCTACAGCTTTCGCTGGAGCGGTTCGCAGCCGTGTGCGACACGGCCGGGATGAAGATCAGTTCCTCCAAATCCAAGGCCATGGTTTTGAGCCGAAAAAGGGTAGAGTGCCCTCTCTGGGTCAGGGAGGAGGTCCTGCCCCAAGTGGAGGAGTTCAAGTATCTTGGGGTCTTGTTCACGAATGAGGGAAAACAGAACGTGAGATCGATAGGCAGATTGGTGCAGCGTCTGCAGTGAAGCGGGCGCTGTACAGGTCTGTCGTGATGAAGAGAGAGCAGAGTCAAAAGGCGAAGCTCTCAATTTACCTATCGATCTACGTTTCTACCCTCATCTATGATCATGAGCTTTGGGTTGTGACCGAAAGAACAAGATCTTGGATACAAGCGGCCAAAATTAGTTTTCGGCCGCAGGGTGTCTGGGCTCTCCCTTTGAGATAGGGTGAGAAGCTCGATCATCCGGGAGGGACTCAGAGTAGAGCAGCTGCTTCTCCACGTCGAGAAGAGCCAGTTGGGGTGGCTCGGGCATCTGTTTAGGATGCCTCCTGGATGCCTCCCTGGTGAGGTGTTCCGGACACGTCCCACCGGGAGGAGACCCAGAGGAAGACCCAGGACACGCTGGAAGGACTATGTTTTTTGGCTGGCCTGGGAACGCCTCTGGATTCCCCCGGAGGAGCTGGACCAAGTGACTGGGGAGAGGGAAGTCTGGGCCTCCCTACTTAGGCTGCTACCCCCGCTACCCGACCCCGGATAAGCAGATGAAAATGTATGGATGGATGGTTGGATGGATGGATGGATGGATGGGAAGTAAAGATTTCAGACAAACAATGCATTTCATTGAGGACAACAAAGATAATGTTACTAACGCTGATATATTCTACCTCTACATTAGATTTATTTTTCTGGACAAAGTTTTAAAAGGCAATAGCCTATATTAGGTTATCTAAACGTTAGCTTGCTAACTTGAGAGGCACATAGCTAATACCAAGCAGGTTGGAAGATAGAAAATAATTTATTATTGATTTATTTTACAGACCAGTTACAATAAACTTACCATTCCCTGTTCAGCAAAATATGCCACACAGTTTTGCTCCCTGTTTGGCTGTGCTGAATGTGAAAGTGAAACTTAAGTGAACAGCAATGACTTGAAAGTAGTCTACATGCTCCCCCTGCTGGATACATTGTACGATTACAGCTGCTTCACAGCATTTTAGGGGTGAAAATTAGAAATAATAATAATAATAATGCCATCACAATGTCAGCACTGTATGTTTCCATACAATGGCGAAATTAGTCTCTGCATTTAACCCATCCACCACCAGGTGGTGCAGTGGGCAGCTATTGAAAGCGCCCGGGGGGCATTTTGGGGATGAGGTGTGCTGCCCAGAGACGCCACGTGATGTGCAGTGACTGGGGATCGAACCTGGGACTTTCGGGTCCCAAGCCGGCTGCCCTGCCTCTACACCATCTCGGCCCCCATAAATGCTTATATCTGTGAGTAATGGGACAATTATTACAAATATTGATATGTCCCCAAATGTTTATATCGGCCTAAAATATCAGCCCTACAGATATATCGGTCGGGCTCTAGACAGAAGTGCCTCAGTGAGAAAGGTGACCAGGAATCTGATGGTCATTCTGACTGCGCTTCACTGAGCTTATGTGGAGATGAAACTAAGTTCAGAAGAACAACCAGAACTGTGGTCCTCCACTGACCTGGCTTTATAGAAGAAGATAGACAGCTTTACTGTCTGTTCCTTAGTAAAACAAAAATTGTCTTCATTACGGCTCCAAATAAGAGAGAAAAAAAATCATAAAAAATTCACAATACTAAAAAACATTCCTAAAAACCTATTCACACAAAATGGTGCTGTCTATTTTGTGTTGTTTAAAACCATTATTTATAATTCAATTTAGTTTATTTTTATGGCTCTAAGTCACAACAGAAGTTATCTCAGGGCACTGAACAGAAACATTCACAACATACATTATAAATGTCAATTAGTAAAGGTATCTATCTGAGGAAGGAAGGAATAGATTGTTATTTATAAATGATTTTTTGTAAATTGTTCTAATGACAAGGCTGAAGCCTCTCAGAGCAAAACACTTGAAGGACTCGACTCTGAGGAACAAGATTTTCTAGTCTGATAAAATCAAGATTGAACTGTTAGTCCTCAATTTTAAACATTAACTCTGGAGGAGACCAAACACTGCTCATCACCTGTCCACCTCTAACCCAACGGTGGCGCACCATCATGCTGTGGTGCTTTTCAGCTGCAGGAACCGGGAAACTTGTCAGGGCTGAGGTAAAGCTAACTGAATTCTAATAAAAATGGAATAGTTCAGGTTTTGGAAGAATACATTTACGAACTTGTACACACATCTATTCTGCCTAGACATTGTGGGGTACTGAGTGTAAATTAATGAAGAAATAAACAATTGTAACATCAATTTGCTAGTACAAACCTGCTTGACATGAAGAAGGCCTGAATAGTTTTTAAAGCCACTGTAGGTACACTCTGCCTGGAAATGGATGTGAAACCTTCAGACAACTTTGACTCATCTTATGTCAGTTTATTTATGGTCATATTCTTTGTGTTTGTGCAAGTTACCGGTAAACAACAAAACTTTAAACAATATTTTATTGCATTTACAGTCAAAGTGTCAGCTGCTTATGTCTAAGACTTATGGCTAGATTTAACAAAGCTGAGGGGGGCAACCTGCAGCATTTCAAAGCTGACCTTAAGCTGCCTTGATTTAAACAGCCAAGCTTCTTATCGCACTTAATTAATCAGTCGTTGACACCGGCACCTTTCTGTGATTACTGTACTGTAAAAACCTTCAATAACCTCCTTTCCACCATTTCCACACAGGAAACTCCTTGCCTGGAGCTGGAGTTTGACCATTTTAGTTGCCCTGTCAAGTTCCCTGAAATGAGCATCGTTGAGGAACATGCAAACTGGAACATATCCAGAGAGCTCGGCTTCAATTATGGTCACACTGGTTTGGTAAGATAAGGATGTCTTCGCATTTGTTTTTGACTCGGTCATAATTTAACATGCAGAAACTTCTCATGTCACTTTTCATTCACACAATGAGCTTTACAGACACCACGTGCTGATAAAACCAGTCTCCAGTTTGTTAGTGAAGCAGTTGTAATGTGATTTTACAGAGCAACCGACTGGCCCGAGACAACCCCCTGACTGAGAGTGACAATGAGCAGCTCCGACAAGTGTGTAACAAAGACCCGCTGTCTGAAATCACTGAGCAGGAGAAAGACTTCCTATGGAGTCACAGGTACTTTGTCTGACTAGTATTACTGAGTGGCAGTGATAAATGTACACAGAAGTTACATGTGCTGGGCAGATCCAGATGTTCCAAGAGCTCAAACAAGTTTTATTTTCTCTGTATTTTAGATATCACTGCGTCAACATGCCAGAGATCCTGCCCAAGATCCTCCTAGCTGTGAAATGGAACTCCAGAGATGAAGTTGCACAGGTGAGCTCAGGTTTCGACATTGGACACGTCTTCCTTTATTTTCAGGGTTGATAATATTCAGAGACCTGTGCTCTGGTGCAAACAGATTTGTTTAAAAGGGCTGATTTCATTCCAGATGTATTGTCTGCTCAAAGACTGGCCTGCAATTAAGCCAGAACAAGCCATGGAGTTGCTGGATTGCAACTTTCCCGACCCCATGATGAGAGATTTTGCTGTGAAGTGCCTTGAGAAATACCTGACTGATGACAAACTCTCTCAGTATCTCATTCAGCTGGTCCAGGTGTGTTCGTCCTAAGAAGGAAACGACCTGTGAAACTTTCTGATTATGGCCTGTTGTTACGACAAATGAGCTGATGTCTCAGCTCGATATGCTCAAGTAATTTTCCATATTTTCTGCGCCTGTGCCCAGGTTTTAAAGTACGAGCAGTACCTTGATAACCCACTTGCACGCTTCCTGCTGAAAAAAGCATTAACCAATCAGAGGATAGGACATTTCTTCTTCTGGCATTTAAAGTGAGTTCATTTAAAAAGGTCTTTGAGGAAGATGGATCTGTTTGTATGTGAAAGGTTAAAATGTCTGAATGCCACACAACTCTCTGCTCCCCAGTAATGTTACATTTTAGGACACATTTTCAGTTTTAAATATCTATTTTTTACTTCTTTGCTTATGTGTACATGTGAAGATCAGAGATGCACAACAAGACGGTGAGCCAGCGGTTCGGCCTGCTGCTGGAGTCATACTGCCGAGCTTGTGGCATGTATCTGAAGCACCTGAGCAGACAGGTGGAGGCCATGGAGAAACTCATCAATCTCACCGACCTCCTCAAACAGGAGAAAAAAGATGAGGCACAGAAGGTAATCCAGCTGTCGGCTGTTTATGCTTATTAACTCAACACAAGCGCTGGGATTAATCTGCAACATCTGGGCTAATCTGGAGGATACTGTAATATCTAGCAGCTTATTTCAACGTACTGAATACTCTCAGCTGTATCCTCGGATCTGAAGTGTGTTAAAAACACTTCAAGTCAACTCAGAGCCAGTGTTTGGATAGTCTCCTCTGGAGAATCAAACGAAGATAACCACAAAAACAAAACACACTTTTTAGAAAGTTCGACACAAATATAAATAGTTAAATTATTAATTCTGCCAGTCCAATCAAAATTTTCACAGTGGAGCTAAAAAAAATGTAAAAACCTTAACCTCCTGCGACCTGAGCTCTGGTCTGAGATGCATTTTTCACATCTCCTGGATATTTGTGATTAGATGGACCTGATTTATGTATAATTAAAGCTTCCTCTTCAAACAGGAAGTTGTATTTTGTTACATGGTTATGACATACTTTTGTAAAAAAAAAAAAAAAGTCCTCATATGGGTAAAATGGGCTTATTTTACAGCATAACACAACATTGTTAACATGGCTTAACAAAGTATAAAACACTATTGAACAGAGTGAAGTATAAGGTACAGCAAAGCCAAACTGTAATGTCCCCATATGTGGACGCAGGGTCTCAGGAGGTTAAAACAAACAAAAAAAAAGATGGCACCTAACTGACTGTGGTGTAGAAAAGCCGGTGAAGGTATCTCAGCCAGCAGCGCTGGCATTTAAAATTTAACATGAAGCACAATTTAAAGGGGACACAATTCAAATGTATTTATTTATACTCTTTTGTATTTATTTATTTAATTGTTAAGCTTCTTGATCTGGGACCTGAGTCCGAATGTCGTTCCATAAAACATGCAAATGTGAGCTGGTATGACAATAAAAATCCTTGAATCCTTTAACTTTGTTTTCATCAGTAAAGATTCCCTGTTTGTTTAAAACATGAAACCAGTTGATTTTAATCACCGTCACTCTGCAATACGTTGTTTTACCAACAATTCTGATTCATATTATGTCTTGGAAGAGTTTTAAAATTCAGAAATTTTACTTGTTAGTTTCAGAAAATGAGCAAATCAGTACATATGACAAAACAAGGAACAGACGTACTAAATAAATTACAGTTACAGTAGTCCCTCGCTATTTTGTGGTTCGTTTTTTGCGGACTCGCTCTATCGCAGTTTTTCACTTATCGCGGGGCTTCAGGAGATCTCCGTGATAAACGAGGGGCTACTCTATTAGACTTACATTTTGCTCATGACTTGATTCATTGTGAAGCTTTGAAAACATTTCATTGTGAAGCATTTCCCTTTCTGGATCATGTTGAATGAGAAAGAGTTGTTATTTTGTTAGTTACACTGTAAAAAAAAAACTTGTACAATTTACGGAAAAATACTGGCAGCTGCTGCTGCCAGTATTTTACTGTAGAAAATATGGTTACAATTCATGACACGTTACGGCATGACATTTTGGCAACCATTACTTTAACAGTAGAGATCTGTTATTTATTTATGGCAAATTATTATGAAAACTTAGCTCTGCAGTAATGTAAAACATTTTACGGCTAATTGCTGTAAAAATGAGTTACAATATAAACCTATTACAGTATCTCTTCAAAATAACAGATATACTGTGATTTCCAGACTATTGAGCACACCTGATTATAAGCTGCACCCACTACATTTAAAAAGCAAAAAAATTGTGCATGTACAGGCCACACTTGTCGATAAGACTGTCTTCTATCTTTAAGATGTACGTCGACCTGATTGTGTTACAATCATTCTCTGCATTAGCTGCAGGAAATTACTGGACGGTTATTGATTTATTTAAATTGGCTTATTAATTTATTTAAAGGCTGAATAGTTTGATTTAAAATCAAATGCCCGATAAAACCATTGACAGTATAAATCTATCAGGAAGCTCAATCCTTCCTAATGCACTATATATTACACGTAAATGAAAATGTTAAATATTCAAAAAACAAAAACCGTTTACTGTACGTAAATGTCATGTCAAATTCAAAGCTGTGGTTCCCCAACATGACCACCAGAGGGAGCATATTGCATTTAAAGAAATACCCTCACAAAGCAGCGGTACTAAACATTGTGTTAAACACAGTTGTTGACACTTTGCAGCCACTTGCTCTGCACCAGAACAAACCGTAGACTGATGGGTTTGTTGATTCTTCAAAGGTCCAAATGAAGTTTCTGGTCGAGCAGATGAGGAGGCCAGACTACATGGATGCGCTGCAAAGCTTTACGTCCCCGCTGAATCCTGCACATCAGCTGGGAAACCTCCGGTACATCCAGCACCTCCTCCTGATCTTACTGTATTCGTTGGCATTTAGTCGATGGTTTTTCTGCAGGTGTTAGATTCTTTTCCTCTTCAGGGCTTTGAATATTACAGAATATAATCAAAATGACAGTTATCTTTGTGGCCAAAACTCATTATGTGACATTACGTACTCACTGCTTGGGGAGAGCAGATTCCCTTTACAGTAAAGCTTCTTCTGCATGACTCAGCATACAGGAGCCAACGTGTACACAGAACTGCTGAATCAGCGTTCACGAGAACAGCTACTGTTAATTAAAGCCTTTGTTACGACGGGTTTGTTTCCTGTTAAACATACTCATGCTTTTGTTTTAGCCTGGAGGAATGCAGGATGATGTCATCGGCAAAGCGACCTCTCTGGCTAAACTGGGAAAACCCTGATATGATGTCAGAACTGCTCTTTCAGAACAACGAAATAATCTTTAAAAACGGAGATGGTGAGTTGTCTGTGTGCATTCACACTGCCTTTGTGATAAATCCCCTGCCTCTTTTACGCACACACACACACACACACATACACACACGCACACATACAGACTCGATGCTTGTGCTGATCAAGATTCAGCTGAAGCCTATGGTGGGGGTGGGTGGGTGGGGGGGGGGGTGGCACACACTCAAATCCAGCTTCTCGCTCTTTACACAAAATTCAGAAATGTTTTTTTCTCGAATCATGCTTGAATGCAGATTCTTGCTTTTTTTTGCCACATCATCAGAGATCAACTGACTTTGACAGCTCTGCTCCATCCAGCATTACCAAGTTGATCAAAGCAGCTAATATTCACAGTTATCCACCTTCCCTCACAGATCTGAGGCAGGACATGCTGACTCTGCAGATCATTAGGATAATGGAGAACATCTGGCAAAACCAAGGCCTTGATCTCAGGTAGGCTTCTCACTTCCTCATGACAGCAGGGATGCACACATTAAAAACCACCGGGTTCTTCATACACACTTACACTACAGCTGTAAACACCTACCAGACACTTTTTAGTCATTTTCTATTGTAGTCTTACTGTTGCCCTCTTAAAAAAATAAAAAAATAATATATATATATATATATATAAATAAAATGTATATATTTTTCACCTGCCTTATATTCCTCTCATGTCTCTTTCAGGATGCTGCCATATGGCTGCCTGTCCATCGGTGACTGTGTGGGTTTAATTGAGGTGGTGAGGAATTCTCACACAATCATGCAGATCCAGTGCAAAGGCGGCCTGAAGGGGGCGCTGCAGTTCAACAGTCACGCACTGCATCAGTGGCTCAAGGATAAGAACAAGGGAGAGATGTAAGTGGCATCAAACATGAATTTTCCTCAGCGTGCCGCTGAAGGAGCCCTGAGCTGAAGTGTTTTTTTTTTTTTTCTTCCAGGTATGACCAGGCTATTGATCTGTTCACACGGTCGTGTGCCGGTTACTGCGTGGCCACATTCATCCTGGGCATTGGGGACAGACACAATAGCAACATTATGGTCAAAGATGATGGTCAGGTAAAGATCACAGCTCACTTCACCATCAGTCATGGTGGATGACTGGTAAACAGTTCGGTTGTTTACTCCATCCGGTAAACGGAGAGATTTGCCTTGTAGCTCAGCTCCGTCTTTACCACGATGCACCGGCACAGAGTACACAATACTACGGAAGCTGCACCAAACCATCTGTCAATCTCATTCTTCTCTCGCTCGTGGGCAAGCCTCCAAGATAATTAAACTCCACTTGAGGCAGCACCTCACTCCCAACCCAGAGAGGACAGTCTGAGTTTTCTGAGATGGCTTCAAATTTAGAGGTGCTGAACTTCATCCCAGCTGCTTCACATGCTGCCAACCAGTCCACTGAGAGCTGAGGATCATGGCTGGATGACATCATCTGGGCTCATCTGCAGAGAGCAGAGAGGGAATCCTGAGGCCACAGAGCTGGACCCCTGGCTGCACCCAGAAATTAGTTCCTCACTTTGTTCTGTTAGACTTGAAAATAATGAAATTTTTTCTGTGTTCACAGCTGTTCCACATAGACTTTGGTCATTTCCTCGATCACAAGAAGAAGAAGTTTGGCTACAAGAGAGAGCGTGTACCATTTGTGCTTACACAGGACTTTCTGATTGTTATTAGCAAAGGAACACAAGAGTGCACAAAAACACGAGAGTTTGAAAGGTAACAGCAACACAGACGGGTTTGATTGACTGAACCAAATAAAAAACAATCTAAACGATGTTAAATGGATACTTCAGCCATTTTGTTGTACTTTTCTGGATTGAAAGGTATAAACAAATAATTTCCTACTCTTTGAATGACCTCAGGTTTGCCTGGACTGACAAGCTAACTGCTAGTGTGAACAGTAAGACCAGTTTGGACTGCTGCTGTCCTAAAACTACTCAGAACTCCAAAATCTCAGACGTTTTGTCTGTCACTTTTGCATTAAGGCTGTTTACATGAAATCGTGTTGTTATTTTTGAGTGCCAATAGTGGAAGCAGTAGTCAGCTGTAGCAGTTCTGGTGCAGCCTGTGGGCACTCAGAAGAAAGGTCACAATATTTCTGAAAAATACCAGCATAAATCACTGGGACATTTTGAAGACAGGAGTTGATTTACGTTTGCAAATTCTGCTTTGGAGCGGGTCCACTTAGATTGTATTGACAAGCTCATAACATCTGCTCCTCTGGACCAGCTCTCTGCTCCACACAGAGGAGTTTTGCTTCCCAGACATATTAACATCTAGCCAGGCAGAAATACGTGAGGTAGACAAAGGTTGCACATGCGCAGTCAGGTCAGTTTTCCACAATTGGAAAAAAAAAAGAACAGCTCAAGTGTTTACATGCACACTGTTCGGATTATGAATCGGCGTAAACCACCCCTCTCATTCGGATTACAGATTCTTTCGTATCGAGCTGAATCAACAAAAAATAATCAGAATGGCGCGTTTACATGACACATTTTTGTTCCAATTGGCCGTTTAATCCGATGACTTATGTTCATGTAAACGTAGCTACTGTCCTGATGCATGCTCAGTCATCCAGGTAAATAAATCATTAAGTCAGGTCATGAGTTTGTGGCTGAGCCTCAGACTTATTGTCTTTCACATGAAGGACAAAACGTTTCACCCAAGAAGTATTTGTCCAGATGACCTGACTTCACTTTTTTGTGATGTATTTACCTGGATGACTGAGCTTACATCAGGATATATATTTATTTTTACACTAATACACCATGAAAAGAGCTGAACAAAATCAATAGGTTTTTTTTCGGCACCTCGATTATTTCCTGTTGAAAATGTCTCAGCTTGATTAGTGTTTGTGATGTGGTTTTTTTTTTGTACTGCCCCCCTCAGGTTCCAGGAAATGTGTTACAAGGCATACTTGGCGATCCGGCAACACGCCAACCTCTTCATCAACCTCTTCTCCATGATGCTGGGCTCAGGTATGCCCGAGCTGCAGTCGTTCGACGACATTGCCTACATTAGAAAGACACTCGCTCTGGACAAGTCGGAGCAGGAAGCCCTGGACTACTTCATGAAGCAGATGAACGACGCCCATCATGGCGGTTGGACTACCAAGATGGACTGGATCTTCCACACAATTCGCCAGCATGCCATGAACTAAAGGAAGGAAAGAATAAAGCGGACAGTGGCAACATCACGAGGAGTGAGGGAAACAAAAGGCTTTTCTTCCACAACACTACAGCTGCCAGCTTCTGACCTAATTTAGAGACATGTTGCCTTCAAGTTCCTGTTTTTTTGAGTGTCTGAAATTAGTTTCCCTGCGTCGTGAATTTAAGAAGCAAAGATGGAGCCGTACTTCACCTACTTTTTTATAGGAATTTACCAAGTGGAATGGACCTCAACTACACTGGCCTTTAAGTAAACTACAGACTTTATAGAAACATTTTCTGACTTTTGACTCCTTTTAATCTACAACCAGAAGAACACTAAGTGGAGCACCACCACACTGCGCACTATTTTCCCCTAAAGATAATATATTTTAGTTATTCTTACAACCGAATTAAAAAAAAAAACAAAGATATATGTGAGGTGGGGGCTGGCACGTGTCGGCGTACCCCCCCCCCCCCATCATCACTTTATGGTTTGTTTGAATCGTCAACATCTTCGGTTTACTGAAAAGAAAATCATGGACGAGGACGATTATTTTTAGTGTTTTTTTGTTTCCCAGTTTCAAAACTGAAGCTCTTATATTGACAATAAAGTAAAAGTATTGAGAATTAATTGACAATAGTATTTCAAGACCGAAATCAAACTTGAGGAACTGAACCCAGCTGTGCTCAAGAACTCGACTGCTCCATATTAATATTGCAGTCGAGGGTTGTGGGTGCATTTTTACACCGTAAACCACAAAATATCCTTCTTAAGCCAGTTCAAGGTGAGTACTTTCATTATTGCTGCAGCATTGTCAATGCAAACGCTGAATACTCAGAACTTCCTTCACTCTTTCACAATAAGAGTCTCAAACATGTACAACGTACTACTAACCTCCAAATATTGTCAGAACATCTAAAGTAAAAATAACTTTGTATTGTTCTCTGCTAAAACTTTAACCACTCAAATCAAACGGAGGATTTCCAGACGTGTTACTGTCTATGCTGAATACATTTTATTTTCCTTCAGACTGTTTTAGCTGTTTAAACTCACTACTCACACAGTGCTGGTGTAGTTTTTGCTTTCCTTTTCAATCTTAAAATAACTCCCAACATGTAAACTTTATTCATGTGAAATACTAATACCACCTATTACTCATTGTATTTAAAAAAAAAAAAATCTATTAGACTTTTATTACAACATTTTGACCATTACAGTAGTCCCTCGCTACTTCGCGTTTCGTTTATCAAAGATTCGCGCTATCGCGGTTTTCCAAAATAAGATTGGACATGACACACAATTGGCTGATTGATGGATGAGCTGCACCATCAGCATGGAATTTTTATTTAAAATAAATTATTTTAAATTTTTGAGCACCTGTTGCACATTTGTGCAGCCCAGAGCAGCAGAAAAAGCTTCCTCCTGCACCTCTGTGCAGTCCTTACTGCTGCAGTTGAACTGCTGCAGAGCGGAGAAGTGGGCGTGGCCAAGAGCGCTTGCAGGTGGGAAGGAGAAGCAGGAGGAGGAGTCAGGGAGCTGAAATCATGACATTCTGTGCTCTTTTAGTCTTCAGGGTATGGATCCCCCGCAATAAACAAGGGACTACTTTATATTAACACAACTTTCTAACTTTCATCTTAACTTTAGTCTCAACATTATATTCCTAAAACAACTGTAGATTCATCATAACTATAGTCTCAACAACTTTTCTATTTTAATGTCTCGGCGGCATTAGGGACCACTGGTGTAGAGGAAGTGCAGCCATCTTGGAACTAGAAAGTCGTGGGCTCAACTCCCCGCCATGCCCACATGTGGTGTCATTGAGCAAGACGTCCAATCCCTAACTGCTCCCTGGGTGCTCACATAGCTGCCCACCTCTCCACCTGGGTGTGTCTCACGTGTGATTGGTTAAATGCAGAGAACGAATGTCATCATTGTAATAATAATAAGTGTTATGTGATGTCATCATTCTATGTTCCCGTACAATGGCGAAATTATTTCTCTGCATTTAACCCATCGCACCTGGGATACACCCAGGTGGAGCAGTTGGCAGCTATGTAAGCACCCAGGGAGCAATTAGGGATTGAGTGTCTTGCTCAGAGAAACCACAGCATGTGGGAATGGCTGGGAATTGAACTTGCAGCTTTCAGGTCCCAAGTCAGCTGCCCTGCCTCTACCCTATCTCAGCCCCAAAGAGAAACATACAGTGATGACAACACATAGCACTTTCTTTCTTTTATTTGCCTTGACATAGCAACTAAAGTCTCATCAGTAATAAGTGTAGGAGTTTTCTTCGGTGTTGGCAAATAAACAGTTATTTAAATTAAGTTATATTATGTTAAATAAAAAATGCATCAGCCAGTGACAGCCCTGCTTTCTAAAGATCACTTTCAGCATCAGCCATAGAAACTCACTTGTTGGTCAGCTTCTCATCTCAACAGCTTCAATTTTTACACAACTTTAGTTTTGCTATTAAAAATTTAATCTCGACTCAAATAGCTTAACCTCAACACATCTTATTCTGGACATTATGACATATCTTGTAGGACTTTAATCTCAACGCTACTACGTCATTTTTGAAACTGCGAAACTTTAAAGAAACATTTTTTTCTGTTTGACAGGAAAGTGATTGAGTACCTTACAGAGAAAACTATTTGTTTTTTTTACACATTTATGAACCAATTGGAACTCTAATGTAATTTCAATGCATTCATGATGTTTTTTTGCATCTTATAACTGACTTTTGAACAGCAGTATGCAAGAATATTTTTAAATTAATGTGCTTATGAGCCAAAGTACCATTTTTCACTCATTAGCTGTCTTATTGTAAACAAAACATCACTACTATTCCAAGTTTTGCAACGACACTTGGCACTGATTGTGGTGTACTGCAGTATTTGCTTAGTTTTGTCCGTCAGTGTTACTGTGGTATACGTCAAGATGGAGATGCACCAGAGAAAAACTCTGAAGGTCAGCATCTTCTCAACATTCAGTGGAGTATTTAGCATCCTGCGTTGTTACACTATGCAAGTTGTGGCCCTAAGCTGGACTGTAATTTGATCGCAGATTAAGGCAGTAAAAGAATCAAATCTGGAAACATTTTGAAAAATGCGTCGGTGCAGTACATAAAAAGAAAGAAAAAAGCTAAATGTTGCTGTTGAACTGTGGTGCCCACTTCTTCCCAGTAGAATGAACTGAACCTGCTGTTCTCTTCTTAGATTTCTAATTTAAGCATCAACCCAAGCCATGTGTACAATATTTGATACTGACTTTTGCTTTTCTTCCTGTTCATCTTCCAAGTGTCTGTTTGGGTTGTTTGTTTCACCCATGCAAGATCTCATGTAAGAGATTAATTTAGTGTTCAAGCTTTACACACACACATCTGAGTATCTGCACGTTTTCAGCACTTACAGCTGCTCAGGAAACCAATCTCAGCTAGAAGGTTGGATCCAAACTGACAAAACAATCCTATTGTTCTTCAAAACAATTATGTACTTTTTGTTTTTTCCTCACGCTGCATCATGCATGGAATCCCCAAATACCTGATCTTATTTTTAACCCCATGTTGTTTACTTGAATTTCGTGTACAGAAATGATCTTGTTACTTGTTGGAGGTACAGTCACAATGAAGGTAACAGATACTGCTATTACATGTGCAAATGCTCTTCTTGAATAACTACAGAGGTAATATATATTTTTGTATATTTTTTTAATGTAAGCAAACTCGTGTGTGTAATCGCTAACCAAAATAATAAGAAAAAAAAAAGTGCATCACACAAACCAGCCTCATACGAAGTCCAGCAGCCAATTTTAGTTGTAGAAAGGAAGGGGTAAATGAAGGAGAAGTTGTCAAGCACCATTTGTAATTGGAATGGAGAGCTCTTACCCTTAAATGGAAGTTTGTAAGCACAATTTTGTTGTTTGAAGAACCTACCCTGCATGTTTTAAGGCAACCAAACTTGTGTTAATTATATATTCATCTGTATCATAAAGCTTCTTCAGATAACTTGTTTAAATCATCCTCATGTCCCTGATGGGTAAGAAACTATGCATTCATTTATTGTGCTGTTGAATAAATACATTTTTTCCTAATTAGATTTACTAAGCCATTTCCTTATACATTTAAACATAAAACAAATGTTCCATTTTCAAGGCACTTTTTACAATGTTCATAAAAAAGACAATGTAGGACAGCCACGCTTGCGGGTCCTTATGAAGTTGTTTTATGAAAAAACTGGATGGTTTATGTTTAGACTAAACAGGAAGATACGTTTTTTTATATTAAGAAATCCACATTTTTGGCTAAGAATCAAATGACAAAACATCAGGAGTATTTCAAACATCAACAATTTGTCCAAACAGACCTTGTAAACAGATGAGCCCCTTCTCTTTGGTGCCAGGGTGAAGCCCCAAAGTATATTTGGGGCAGCTGTGGCTGAGTGGTTAGATAAGTCGTCCTCCAATGCAAGAGTTGGGAGTTAGATTCCACCAGCTGTCACGTAAAGTGTCCCTGGGCAAGACGCTGAACCCCTCATAGCTTCTGATGTGTGTCCCATCAGTGTATGAATGTGATAAAGCTCTGATTAGTCCCCACAGATTCAGATTAGCATTGTATAGATCTAGTAGAACGCTGTATAAATGAGTAAATGAGGGCACAGATTACGTTGTAAAGCACTTTCAGTATCTTGATAAGATAGAAAGCGCTATACAAGTACAGTTCATTTACCATTCCATTCCCAAATATTCTTTGTCAAGGTGTAATATCATGGTTTCTTTGCCTAGCTAGTAGCCATAAGTTTTGTTGAATTGCGCTTTGGCTAGCCCCTAATCCAATTTACCCTGTGAGACCCTACCAAGGTCTAACTGGCCCTGACAATAAATATTCTAGGGTCCTTAACTCCTCCATAATGTGGCACTTCACAATGATGCATTGCCAAGTGACAAGTTTGGCTAGTACAGAGGAGCTTGGACTTGTTTCATTACATTGAAAGAACAGTTGAGACAGTTTAGCTGGGAGGAGGGAGATCTGAGTAGTTTTGCTTTAGCTTTGCCCGACCCTGTTTCAGACAGGCAGCAGAAGAAAGATGAATGAATTAATGGTTGTAAAAACAGATTTTGGTTGACACATTGTTTCATAGAAGCTAATTGTACCTAACATCTATCCATCTGTCTTTTAAATGTGCTTGTTCATGATCTCAAGAGCTGGTACCTACAAGTAGTGGGCAAGAGACGGGATACAATCTGGACAGGTTGGCTCGTTTTTGGATTAGCAATGTATAAACCTATAATATAAAGGTTATTAAATAAAAAGTGAAAGACATGAGAAGCTTCTCCCTAATGAATGTTTTCCACACTCGCTTTTATTTCCATAAACCCTACTTGGTATGACGAGATAAAAATTGTCTTGAAAATTTTCTGCTTCCTGGATTTAAGGTGGTGTTACCTTTCTTTCAAATAAAAGTTGGTTCTGTGCATAAAATACTAATAAAAGAAGCATTGGACCAGCAGGGCCATAAATCAGATGTAAGTACAACCTGGTGACGTGCCATTTAGTAGCTGAGAACCTAAACTTCATGTGCATTCCTTGGTAAATTCTTGCAATGCATTTTGTGGTTATTTAATTGAAGGAGCTAACTGGTTCATGATAGGTTAATCATGTGACCATGACCATTATGACCACATGACCATTTTTGAAAACATTTATCATTGAGCAGACCAGAAGTTAGTCTTCCTCTACATCACGTAACAGCTCATCATTCAGAACTGGGGTTGGAAATCTCTGGATCTTAAGTAAATTTGGACTAAAGGGCACAATGAGGCAAAAAAAATTTATTTTGTTTTTGACACTTAAACAGCATTTTGTATACACCATCAGATCAAATGGATGATGGTGGTCCAGGCACACAGCTGGTCTCCTGTTAGCAGGGTGTAATACCCGAGCCTCGGTACAAGCAGAAGTTCAATGCAAAATATTCAGCTGTCGTATCCTCTCCTTTAGCAAGTCAACCCACTGGTTTATGAGATCCAGCAGATTGGCACTGAGTCAGCGATTTTGAGCTGATCCTGTGCATGTTCTATTAGGGAAAGAGAACTGGGCTGCTCTTGGAAGGATTTGATGCAGGGAATCCAGTGACTCTTTACATGGAATAGTAGCTATGTGTGGATAGATGTGGTTTTGTTGGAAAATTGTACCAGGGTGTCTCAGGAAGGGTAAGACAGGTGGATGCAGGATGTCACTGAGGGCAGCACGATGGATTAGTGTTTACCACTGATGCCTCACAGCAAGAAGGTCCTGGACTCAATGATTGGTTTGGACCTGGGGTCCTTCTGTGTGGAGTTTTCATGATCTTGTGTTTGCATGAGTTTTCTCTGGGTACTCCAGTTTCCTCTCATAGTCCAAAAACATATATGGTAGGCTGCCTTAAGGCTCAGGCCTCCCTTGCAAAAGAGATCTGTGATCTCAATGGGATTTGCCTGGTTAAATAAAGGTAAATTAAACTGAGTTGGGGCAGCATGTTGGCGCAGTTGGTAGAGCTGCCGCCTCTCAGTGAGCAGGTCGCCCCAGCTCAAATCCCAGTCGGGAGCCTTTCTGGGTGGAGTTTGCATGATCTTGTGTTTGCATGAGTTTTCTCTGTGCATGTGTGGGCTTTCTCTGGGTACTCCAGTTCAAATTCAATTCAATTCAAATATACTTTATTAATGCCAAAGGGAAATTAATTGTTGTTGTAGCTCATCTTGGTTTCATTAGAGTTGTTCTAGATGCTGATGTCTTTGGGCAGGAAGGATCTCTTGTAGCAGTCCGTCCCACAGCGGATCCGAAGAAACTGGCTGCTGATGTCAATCCGTCCACCCAGCAAACCTCTCGGTCCTCTTGGGCAGCAGGACTGCCTGAATGTTGGGCAGAACTTCTCCCCGAGTGATGGCCATTTCTCCCAGCAGCCTGCCAAGCCCCTTGTTGCCGCAGGTGCCGGGGGATAATCTTTGTCCTCCCGCTGTCACAAGCTGCATTTCCCGCTACCTCCAAGATCTCTGCAGTCAGGCACTCGAGCACTGCCTCCAGGTAGATGGGAATGCATCCACAGCACCTCCTTTCAACTCATTTGGGATTTGAGGCTATAGTTGATATTTGAGCTTTTCAGGTTAATCAGCTGCTCCCAGTTGTAGAAAACCACACTGTTGTTATGGTTACGCATCATAACAAATGTCCAAAAGTAAAAAAGGTTTCAGTAAAAATCCTGCCAGCAGCACAGCATCTGATACCAGAGGAAGTAATCATCCGAAAAAAGCTATTTGCATTCAGAAAAAAAAATTTATTAAAGTTTTCAAAAGCAAATTCTCAGAATGAATGTGAGAGCTACTCCAACATGCATCCACCTTGAGCGGAGCAATTCTGGAATTTCGCTAAATTTCCTTAATACAGTTTCCTCCCACTGACCAAAAACATGCGTGTTAGGCTGATTGGTAACTAAATTGGTCCTAGGTGTGTGTGAGAGTGAATGGTTGTTTGTCTCGTTTGTCTCTATGTGTCCCTGTGATGGACTGGAGACTTGCCTAGGGTCTCCACACTGCTTCTCGCACCGTAATGGCTGGATATGTGCACCAGTGACCTCTGCAACCCCAAAAGAAAAATGCGGGTAAAGATAATGGCTGGATGGATGGATGGATGGATGGATGGATGGATACACTGAGTTAGTGCAGTGCTGTCAAGGTTCCCCAGTTCACTATCAGAGGTGACTGGAAGTCTCAGTGATGGCCCCCACACCATGATGGCAGAATTGGTCTTCTCTTTTTTGGCAGCCATACATGCACACATTGGCCATTAATACAAAATTAACATCACTGGATATGATGATATGAAACGTCTCAGTATCAGTACATGTCTCCTAATCAAAGAACCACTCCAAATCTAGTTGTCTCTGCTTTAGTGTTAATAGCAGCCTAAGTGTAGGACAATGTACTTTAGACCGGCTGATGCGAGTCATCGAGACATGGTGCAGGATGGCATTGAGTGTTATAAAGAGGTCAATAATTTAGTCCAGATGACAGGTGTAAATGACATGAGGTTTTGTAGTCCTTGATGCACAAAACAATGATCTTTTCTTGGTATAATCTGTCTTGGGTGACCTGAATCCAAGGCAGTTCCCATCAGCTCCACGTGGTGCCTGCATACTGTATACCCCTTGGTTCAACATCAAGTACATGTCTGTAAATGGACTGTATTTATATAGCGCCTTTCTATCTTATCAAGACACTCAAAGCGCTTTACACTACAATCTGTGCCCTCATTTACCCATTCATACAGCACTCTACTAGATCTATACAAAGCTAATTGAACAAATCATTCTAAAGAGACTAATTAGTGCTTTATCACATTCATACAGTGATGGGACACACATCGGAGGTAATGAGGGGTTCAGTGTCTTGCCCAAGGACACTTCGACATGTGACTGCTGGTGGATTCGAACCCCCAACTCTTGCATTGGAGGACAACTGCTCTAACCACTCAGCCACAGCCGCCCGTCTGTAAACTCCATATGTTGGGTGTCTGCACAAAACAAGCACCTGGTCTCAGGCAAACCCACAACTGGACCCTTATCAAATGGTAAATGGACTGTACTTATATAGCACCTTTCTATTTAGTCAAGATACTTACAGCACTTCACACTACAACCTGTGCCCTCATTTATCCATCCACACAGTACTCTACTAGATTTCTACAAAGCTAATCTGAATCTGTCGAGACTAATCAGAGCTTTAGATCACATTCATGCACTGATGGGACACACATCGGAGGCAATGAGGAGTTCAGTGTCTTGCCCATGGACACTTCAACCTGTGACTGCTGGTGGAATTAAACCCCCAACTCTCCCATTGGAGGAAAACTGCTCTAACCACTCAGCCACAGCTGCCTCAAATTCAAACTCATCAAACTCTAAGTGCTGGTACTGACTAATGTGTCTTTGAAGTATCTGCTCTGTTTCAGTTGACTGTTAGATGCTCCAGGAACTGTCTGATATAATTGTTGCTTCACTCCTGATGTTCTGTTGCAAATCAAATCATTTACATGGCAATGGCTGATCTTCATGTGACCCAAATTATGTCCAAATTTGATTATTCCTTCTGTGTATTTAAACATTCTTATCAGTGAGTGTGTCACTTTCATAATTACAAACTGTTACTGGCATATTATAGCTGTAAATATCTCATGTAGGGGATTGCATACTTGACCTCCGCAGGAGTTTATAAAGTTTGCCCCGAGTGTATCTTGAAGTCAACCTTCCCTTCACTGTTTCAATGCACACCTCAGAGGACAGATGAGCTAAGCACTGAGTCATCTTCACAAAGCCCACCAGAAGAGCTCCACCACCCAGCATTAGACAGGGCCAAAGCAGTCCAAACAGCACCCTTCTCAAAGTGTACTTCTTGTGCCAGATGACGTGGTTGGGGTGATTCTTGTGATCACTTAAGCACGAGTAGTTTCTTCCCAGATGATGCTCCAATCTTTTTCTTACTTCCTGCACTTCGTCTCGAAGATCATCCTTGTCCATTTGACATTTTGGGACATAAAAACACTGGAAAGAAAAATAACTAAGTGTTAAATTGTTGTTGATAAACAACTATTGATAATAGCAAGAAGAATATACTTTGATTGTACAAGATTAATCACATCAACTCAATATTCTCCATTATCCTAAATACAAAAGAAAAGAAACATGATCAGGACTAGTTCTTGTCCTCAAAGTTGGTTTAGTACACTGAGGTGTTTTTTTCACAATCACTATCCATCTTTTAGAAACCTCTGAGTGTAGGTTAGGAAAATTAATAGGTCTGCTAAACAAGTGGAACAGGCACTACAATAACATGAAATTTTCATTTGGATCTGGAGTTCTGGGACCACCAAAGGTGAAGTAGTGAAACTGCTGGTAATTCCTACTTCTTTAGCCAGAAGGACAGACTCCTCATCATAGTGGAGAAAGGCCCCTTGACTGGAGCCGGTCAAGTTGACTGTCACTTTAAGGCAAGGCACTACGCTCACTCCTCTGCAGTCCACCCAATCTTCTGGAATGTCAGTCTGATGCAGCACACACTGGGCCTCCTCCTCCCAGCAACTGTAGGATAACAAAATGTTCACAGAAACATATCTAAGGCTAGTATCTCACAGGGCTGGGACTTTTGGAGACAAGTTGGTTATTCAAAATTGGAAAAATTGCTACAAAGAAAGCAACATTTCTGTTGGAGTCTCACTGAATTTTGGGTGTTTGTTACCAACAAGTTGTGCAGTTCATTTTGTGAAGCCATTTTTGTGTGCATGACTTAAAAAATTGAATTATTGTTCATGGAATTGATTTGGTTGTCCATCTCAGTCTACATTATTCCTGCTTTAGCCTGCTTTGTACCCATATTTAGTTTAATCTACTCAGGAACACTTTATAAATTATAAAATAGGCAGATATGGACCAGTTGGTTATTGTATGTTATTGTTGTGGGTATATCCTGATGCATGCTCAATAATCCAGGCAGATGTTGTGGGTATACTTAGTAATTCGAGGCTGTAGCCTTAAATGTTTCTGTCATGAGGAGAGTTCCAATGTAGAAATTAAAATACAGCTCTAGCACTGTAGAATGTATCAAAACTAAATTGAAAAGGTTTTGAGGTTTAGATTGGAGATACACTATATTGCCAAAAGTATTTGCTCACCCATCCAAATTATCGGAATCAGGTGTTCCAATCACTTCCATGGCCACAGGTGTATAAAATGAAGCACCTAGGCATGCAGACTGTTTTTACAAACATTTGTGAAAGAATGTGTCGCTCTCGGGAGCTCAGTGAATCCCAGTATGGAACTGATAGGATGCCACCTATGCAACAAATCCAGTTGTGAAATTTCCTCGCTCCTAAATAATCCACTGTCAGCTGTATTATAAGAAAATTGAAGTGTTTGGGAATGACAGCAACTCAGCCACGAAGTGGTAGCCACGTAAACTGACGTAGTGAGGTCAGTGGATGCTGAAGCGCATAGTACAAAGAGGTCGCCAACTTACTGCAGAGTCAATCACTACAGACCTCCAAACTTCATGTGGCCTTCAGATTAGCTCAAGAACAGTGCACAGAGAGCTTCATGGAATGGGTTTCCATGGTCAAGCAGCTACATCCAAGCCATACATCACCAAAAGCAATGCAAAGTGTCAGATGCAGTGGTGTAAAGCACACCACCTCTGGACTCTAGAGCAGTGGAGGCGCGTTCTCTGGAGTGACGAATCGCACTTCTCCATCTGGCAATCTGATGGACAAGTCTGGGTTTGGTGGTTGCCAGGAGAATGGTACTTGTCTGACTGCATTGTGCCAAGTGTAAAGTTTGGTGGAGGGGGGATTAAGGTGGGGTTGTTTTTCAGGAGCTTGGCCTGGCCCCTTAGTTACAGTGAAAGGAACTCTGACTGTTTCAGCATACCAAGACATTTTGGACAATTCCATGCTCCCAACTTTGTGGGAACAGTTTGGAGCTGTCCCCTTCCTCTTCCAACATGACTGTGCACCAGTGCACAAAGCTAGGTCCATAAAGACATGGATGGCAGAGTCTGGTGTGGATGAACTTGACTGGCGTGCACAGAGTCCTGACCTCAAACCGATAGAACACCTTTGGGATGAATTAGAGCGGAGACTGGGAGCCAGGCCTTCTCGTCCAACATCAGTATGTGACCTCACAAATGTGCTTCTGGAAGAATGGTCAAAAATCCCCATAAACACACTCCTAAACCTTGTGGACAGCCTTCCCAGAAGAGTTGAAGCTGTTCTAGCTGCAAAAGGTGGATCAATGTAATATTGAACCCTATGGATTGGGAATGGGATGTCACTTAAGCTCATATGTGAGTCAAGGCAGGTAAGCGAATACTTTTGGCAAGGTAGTGTATCTGTGACAACTCTGCAATGATTAAAAAAAAATAAAAAAAATTGGTTGCACACATTTTTTCAATATGTTTAAAATTCAAGTGATAAGACTGTGAACAGGGCAGCACAGTGGCACAACTGGTAGTGCTGCTGCCTCTCAGCGAGCAGGTCCCTGGTTCAAATCTCGGTCCGGGTGCCTTTCTGGGTGGAGTTTGCATGTTCTCTCCGTGCATGCGTGGGTTTTCTCCAGGTACTCCAGTTTCCTCCCACAGACCAAAAACATGCATGTTAGGCTGATTGGCAACTCTAAATTGTCTCTAGGTGTGAGTGAGAGAGAGAATGGTTGTTTGTCTCTATGTGTCCCTGTGATGGACTTGCGACCTGTCCAGGGTGTACCCCGCCCCTCGCATAGTGATTGCTGGACATGGGCACTGGCGACCCCCGTGACCCAAAAATGGAAGAAGCGGGTAAAGAAAATGGATGGATGGATGAAGACTGTGAGTCTTTGTGACTCCAGCAAAGAAATGAAGCACCCCTGAAATGTTTTAAAACAGTTTGAAGTCTTCCTCACAACTGCTGTTTGCAAACTAGTCACCAACAGTTTCAGCCCAGTGAGACACTACTCCAATGTCCTAGAATGTAAACTTGCTCTCCAGAAAGGTATTATTTGAAATATTCAAACTACAGGATTTTCATATAATTGTGTACAAACACGGGCAGCACGGTGGCGCAACTGGTAGAGCTGCTGCCTCTCAGCGAGCAGGTCCCTGGTTCAAACCCCGGTCCAGGGGCCTTCTGGGTGGAGTTTGCATGTTCTCTCCGTGCATGCGTGGGTTTTCTCCGGGTGCTCCGGTTTCCTCCCACAGACCAAAAACATGCATGTTAGGCTGATTGGTAACTCTAAATTGTCCCTAGGTGTGAGTGAGAGAGTGAATGTTTGTTTGTCTCGTTTGTCTCTATGTGGCCCTGTGATGGACTTGCGACCCGTCCAGGGTGTACCCCACTCCTTGCACAGTGATTGCTGGACATGGGCACCAGCGACCCCCGTGACCCAAAATGGAATAAACGGGTAAAGAAAATGGATGGATGGATGGATGTGTACAAACACTTAATCTTACCACTTGTTACAAATATGTTCCTGATAAAACTTCAAATTTGGAAACCCAAATTGTTTGAAATTTAAGTTTTACTTTCAATATGTGTGCCTCAAAGTTGTTGGTTCTTTCCACGGGGGATTTGTTGAATCCTCAATTCACCAGTGAGTTTATGAATCAAAACACGATGTGGTTTGCACTGATCATGAAGCCGGTTGAGCCTCAAAGAAGATTTTGTTTTTGCTACAGCCTTTAGCAGGATGTTCTTATTTCCATGTTAGTTTGGAGACAGGTTCTTGAATCTCTTTGAGATGCAGCCAGCATTAGTCTTACTTTGATGCTGGCTTGCTAGGTGCCATAAGTGTGTCTAAAGTACGCATCAGTGATCATGAGATCCCAACAATAATGATCTCTTGTCCAGTTGATAGCACCAGACTTAAATCTAAAGTCTTAAATTTTGCTCTTTGTTTTCCTCTTGCCTATTTACATATTAAAACCAGACATTCCATCAACCTCTTTTGAACAACATGCCCACAGAGAACTTGCCTTTCTGTGATCGCTAACATTTGTTCCTGTTTTCCATTGGCTCTTCTAAGAACCTATATGTTGATGACATGATCCAAGTATGAGATTTTTAGAATCTTTCTCAGAAACCACATTTCAGCAGCATTAATGTTCTTTGCCTTTTCCAGTCTGAGTCTTCATGTCACCCATGGCAATCTTGATTTCAGAAGATTTGCTTTGACGACAAGTTATATCAAGCAATTCATAAAACCTCTCTACTTCTTCTCATAGGCATATGAGATATGTGCATATGCTTGAATGAGATGAATGTTGATTGTATTTTCATTGATTTTAATGAGAATAATATGGTCAGAAAGTGCCCAATGACTGAGTAAATATTTGAAGATGTTTTTGCAGACTCTGCGCTCGTATCCATTTGATAAAACAAACAAACAAAAACAAACAAACAAACAAAAACATCTATCTTACAAAGTACTTCACTGAGGCCCAAAATGTTGACGCTCAATGTCTTCATTTCTTGAAGCATTTTGTTCAATTTACCCTTCTGGTACAAGGTCCTTGTGTTCCATGTTGACACAAGACATCTTTGATTGCTTCTACTTTCAGGATGACATTCAGTTGTGTTCTGGAGTGCATCACAATTCCTAATGAGAGAAGGGCTATGCCCATATATGGTTGAAGCAACCCCATCATGCTGTTTTAATTATTATTATGTTATGAATTGATGATTTGATGAAGGAAGATACCTGTTGACTTCTTCACTTGCAGTGCCTTTACACACGATGGTAATCCTATCCATCCATCCATCCATCCATCCATCCATCCATCCATCCATCCA